ACACACACACACACACACACACACACACAGAATCACTTGTGGATCTTAAGCACACACACACACACAATCACTTGTAAACACACACACACACACAACAGATGATCCCGATGGAACACACACACACACAACAGATGATCCCGATGGAACACACACACACACACCAGATGATCCTGATGGAACACACACACACACACACACACACACACACACACACACACACCCCCACCCACCCACCCACCCACCAGATGATCCTGATGCACCACCAGAATTAAGAATCACCGTCTCAAGAGACTGGATTAAGGAGGGAGTTCTTTGGCCAAAGAATCCTTTGGGTTTAAGGCAGGGGAACAGAAGTTAGCTAGGGATGATTCACCTGTCTTTTGGGGTCCCACAATCAGGAACTTGGGGAGCCGATCACAGGTTTTCTCCTTGGACCAGATATCTTTGTGCCTCTTGTCATCACAGGGATTCTGAAGGTGAGGTAAAGAATCAGATGCCTAATCTTTTCTTCAACCCTTCCCACCCTCATCCTGTCTCTCTGGTCAGCCTGAGCTCCATCCGTACCTGCCAAAGGGGGCTCCGCTCTTGAGGGAACAGTTCAAAGTACTTTTGTGCAAGAGGGACGGGAGGAAGGGTCTGTAGGCGCAGCCGTGTCCAGCACTGGAGGAAGCGCACCAGGCTCTCAAAGGTATACAGGCCCAGCCGATCATTTCCATAATTGGACAGATGGGTCATAAAAATGCTGATCTGCAAAGGGGTGCCTGCATGTCAGAAGCGGAGAGCCTACCCCACCTCAGAATCAGGCTTGGTGCGCAAAGGTCCCAGCCTACATACACTTTGGCTCTCTAGTCTTCTAGCCCTTCCTCTCAGCACCTTACCGGATTAAGCAGCACTGTCAGAAAGAGCTCTCCACCTCGGATGCTCCGGTCTAGTTCACGAGAGCCTCCAGGATATTCATTATAGAAGATTGTGTGAGTGAAGAGGCCACACGTCTGCCGTGGCAGTACCTAGAAGGGGGGAAAAGAAAGAGACGGATGAGATTTGAAAGGCGAATGAAAAGTAGTAAGGGACAAAAGTCCTACAGCATTAGAATTCCCTGGGTTTGCAGAGGACTGTCTTTTGAGTTAACCAATAAAACTTCCTATGTGCATGATGACTTTTTACCCCTCTACCCCCTATTATGTGAACTTGGACTAGTACTTGACAGGACACAGGTCAATGCAGGTTGGTGGCTATCTAAACAAAGGAGTTTGATTCGAGTTTGTATCGGGGGTCCCTCACCATAATGCCATTGTGAATGAAGCCACGGCGGTAGCGGGCAGGGCGGAGATGGGGATACTCCTCAGTGCTGGTCACCTGGATGCCCCACACAGATTTCCAGGCCTCATAGAGCTGCGTGTGGATGGGGTATACACCCGAGTGGTGGGGGGCCACAGCATACCCCAGATCCGTGGGAATCCCATGCTCCTGGGAATGGCATAAACTCTCACCAGGACCTGGTGAGGTTCAGGGAGTAGAGGGTAAAGAGGGTGGGGACGCCTCCACAGAAAGAAAAATGGACAGGGTAGGGGAAGGTTGAAAAGGAACTATTATCTCTGAGAAAAGTAAGGGGAAGAGATCCAAGGGTCTCACCAGAGCAAACTGTTTGTTGAGCCTCATCTGGTCAGCCAGCACGGAGCGATTGTGGAACAGGTGTGGCTGCATGTGGCTCCACATGTGGGGGAACCACCAGAACTCTTTGCGGTGCTTCAGCAGCATGTCGTCCCCTGCATCCTCCTCCTCCGTCCCTATGATCACACACTGACCACTGACCACAGCCAGGCGGGCCATGTGCCCTCCTCTGTTCTGTAACAACACTGACCACCTTCCATTCTCGGGACAAGATTGCTAACCTCTGCCTACCTAAGCCTACCTGCCCCCCTGCTGACTTGACCTCCAGCCACCCCTGCTAACCTAAATTCATATCCACCGCTAGCTCCTCACAGCATTTTGACTGCAAGCCCTGACCTTCTTCTCCAACTTGTTTGCCCAGGAAGATGAACAGTGAAGGGACAGATCAAACTAAGCTTGATATGCCGAGGGAGCAGGAGAATACACTCACCGGTATGATAGAACTTGCCCGAGAAGCCCAAGTTGAAGGTGAAGTTGGGCACTAAGGTCCTGAGTTTGTTCTGGGTGGTCAACAGAGCCTGGGAAGGGTAGCAGGAACATGAGAAATCATGAGAGCAGACTGAGCAGGAGAAAAATGAAAAGTAATGTTCTCCCAGACTGAAAAGGGCAGGGATTAATACCTAGGACAAGCTCAGAGTCAAGGGAGTCTGATAGGACAGAGCTTGAAACAGCTTCTGAGGAAAGAAATTTGAGTCAGGAAAAAGACTGACCTCAACATCAGCCACCTTCATGCGGGTACCTTCCTTGCCTACAAAGATGTCATCGATGTCTACCAAGATGTAGCGGTCAAGGTCTAGGCAGAGGCGCTTGCCGGTGAGGTACGCAACAGCGTCAACAAAAACAAGTTTGTGGAGCCAGAAGGAAAGGCCATGACCAAAGAGCACCCGCTGGATGCCATCATGAAGCCCCAGGTCCTGTATGACAGTGGGAAGCCGGGTCCGGCGAGGCACTGGTGCTGGCATAGGGGGCTCAGCTGGCCGAAGGCTGGCAAGAAGCACTGGTTCATATGTGCTATGATTGGATTGGAAGATGGTCCAGTCATCACCAGGCAGTGGCCCAGGTTCCAGGCGGCTGGGGCGTGTGAGATGCAGTAGGGGGGCAGAAGGATTCACTTGGTAGTCCCGGAGCCCCAGATTTGAGTGTAGGAAAAGAGGAAAGCCCTTGAGCTGGGCACTCAGTAGGCTATGTTCATGGGCTCGGAAAAAGCCAATGATGCCCACACCATATTCCACACAGTACCGGTCTAGCAGTTCCCGACTCCAGGCATCCAGGTTGACATACTTGAGCAGGTTTTCATAAATGACCAAGACATAGCGGCCACGGGTATGATCGGTCAGTGTGGGCATGTCCCCTCGGCCAGGTGCTAGCTCAGTGCTATAACGAAAACGACTAGACTCCAAGATGGCCACAATCTCCTGCCCCAGCTGTGAGTACGCACTCTCCACAAACACAAGGACCACAGGTTCAGTTCGCGCTGTCTCTGGTGGCCTGGGGGGCCGTGGTGGGACTGGAGGACGTACAGGGCCAGGGCCAGCTGCCCCACCACTGCTGCAGTCTCCCAAGGGCAGGGGCAAGGGTTCCTTGGCCTTGGGGCTGGTGGACACGTAGTAAGCCAGGAAGCCCATGGAGCCCAGACTGAAAGCGATCAGCAGCAGTATGAGGCGGTGCAGTTCCAGCTGCCGAGCTGGGCGTACCACCTTCCACAGCTTGAGCATGGCGGGGAAGGGGAGGCAGGGATGGGGACTACCTCAGGGGATGGGAGGTAGGAGTTCTATAGGCTGGGGCTCTCTCAGGAGGGTAGAAGGATAGAAAAACAAGGGAAAAGGATTTCCTCAGGGTCAGTTCCCTGAAAAGTTGGAGTCAAGTCCCCTTATTTTAGGGTAGGGGAGTTAGAAGGGGCCACAAGGGGCAACTGGACAGAGTCCATTGGTCTCAGGTCACCATGGCCCCCTGGTCCATGGCTTCAGGATGCAAATCTAGCCAGGCTCCACTCTCGGTCCTGCTGCGCTCCTCACATCAGAGGTCAACAAAGTTCATAATCTCTGCTCTCACTATTTGTAAGACAGAGAAATCAAGGGTTACTTCTCCACCTGAAAGTGTATCGTTAATCCATTCCCCTCTTCACCCATCTCTCTTACCTCCTGCTCACAGGATGACTTGTTCTCCAAAAAAAAAAGCTCCTGTAGAAGAACACCACAATCTGAGTCTCATAGCTTCACTTCACAGCTTGTTCCCTTTCTTAGAATACTGTCTAAAGTCTCCTTCCTGAGTTAAGTTCTGAGTTAGAGCAGTATATTCAAGGGTTGGAACGGAACAAATCTCCCACTAGCAAGAGACCAAACAGCCCGGGAGGCTGAAAATGAACCTGCTCCGAAAGAAGTTCCCAGCCCACGACTGAGCAGTCAGCCAGCAGGGGCTCCGGTCAGCCTGGGAGGAAGGGACGGAAAGCCCCACAAGTCCCACAAGTCCCGTGCTCCAACGAAATATCAGATAAGAGGAAACTCATGAGTCTGTTAATCTTCCTCATCAATCAAACCCAACATCACAAGCTAAAAGCACTAACGAACTTGTAGTCAGGAGGACACTATGGTGGGGGGAGCTGAAGAGGCAAGAGAAATGCTGCTAGCTAATCATTCAATTCACTTCCAAACCCAGAACCTGGGGACTCTCTTTTCCATGGCTTGTGAAAAATTACTCAACCCCTGCCCTTCACCTCACCTGCACCAGTGTGGGAGAGATGATAAAAAGGTAGCCCCAGGGCAGGCCACATCACTGGCGTCTGAGATAAGCTGGAGAACTGAGTCCAGTCTCTCTCCCTATCACTTTAGTTTTCCTTCCTAACTTAGCCTCGGTGATACTATATCCCATCACTGAACAGCTGAGAAAGGTCCTGAGCTAGCCTGTGGAGACAGGAGGGATTGAATCCCGTTACAAAAACAGAGCAAACTGAATGGGGCTGGATGAGAGGAACAGGAGTTTAAGTCATATCCAACCAATAAGAGAGGGGTAAGGACAGGGTGATCAGAAAACAGTTTCAGGGAGACCTAATTCTGGAGACTGCTTTCTTCAATAGATAGACCACTTCTAGGAGCTTTATTGTTGCTCTCTCCAGCTTAGCCATTCTTAGGAAGGCCAGTGACTGGCAATCCCTCCCTACTACCCCCTCCCAGACACACACATCTCAGGGGTGATTAGGCAGAGACAGGGTTCCTCAGAATTGAGAGAGACAATTTAAGAACAGTTCAGCTTTGGCCTGGGTCAAATGAACTGATGTGAAAAGAAAGCTGGGAGAGGATCAAAATGGTGATGGGAAGGGGTGAATCCTAAGAGTTAAAGGAAACTCTTGAGGGGAAATACAGTAGTGAGAAGTCATCACTGAGGGGAAGTGGACACTCAGGGTGTCTCACCCCTTCATGTTAAGAATAATGTAAATAATTACTGAGAGCTTACTCTTTGTCAGACACTCTTCTAAGACCTTTCCATATATTTAATGCTCACATCAGCCCTGGGAGGTAGGTAAAGAGGTAGAGACTATTATTATCCCCATTTTACATATGAGTAATCTGAGGTCCAGAGAAGCTTAATAACTTGCCCAGGATCACACAGCTCAGTCAGTGGAGGAACTGGGATTCAGAGTCAGGCCTGTCAAGCTCCACAGCCGGTGCTCTTAAACCACTGCATGTTGGCTTCACACCTAGAAGCAGCAGCAATATTCAGGGAAGGGGTGCTGAGGGAGCTATCGGGGTACAGTGAAGGGTGGGACAGGAACACGGGGTAGGGGGGTGCTGTACGCGTGGGCAGCAGCGGGAGGTTTCTGAGGCGGAAACCAAAGGGGTCACCCAGGTCCGGGCTGGGCGGCAGCACCAGGGATAGAGACCGGGGAAGGTGGGGCTGGGGGCCCTCGCGCGGGGAGACGAGCGGTGCAGACGCCGTGGGAGGAGGGGGCACCGAGCCGCGACACCGGAATGCGGGGCTGGCACAACCGGGGCGGAGGGGGGGGGGCTGTCACGGATGGAGGGTCCCTGCTGAGGGGGAACATGGGGTCACAGGTGGATATGAAGGGAGCGCCGGATGGGGACCGGGCAAGGGACGCGCTGAGGAGAGCCTGGGGTGACATCGAGGCAGGCGCTGGGCTGGGAGATCCCGGAGGGGAGGGGGAGCCCGTACTGAGGGCAGTGAGGCCACTACAAGGGAGGCTAGTGGAAGGGATGCAGGACAGGGGAGCTCTGGGCCGCACTGGGGGCCGCCCAGGACCACCCCGCGGGTGGTCATGGTGGCAACACCGAGGGGAAGTCCGTGAGGGGAGGAACTGCGGGCGACCGTGGGTGGGTGGTCACACTCTGAGTGGGGGTGGTTACCCTCAAGGGCGGCTCACCCGGCGGACTAGGCGGCGTCCCCGCTGGCCCCGGGCTCCGCCGCGTCCCGGGGCTGCCCGGCTTCCCAGCTCTCGGGGCCTCGGGCCGCGTCGCGGCGGCTCCGCCATCTCCGAGCGAACACTCTGCCGCAGCCGGGCCCAACCACCGCTCCCACCCGGGGGGGAGGCGGCGCGCTGCCGCTCGCGGCGCCCGCTCAGGTCCCCGCAGAATCCGGGCCTCGCAGCCGCACCGCCGAGGTGCCCGGCAGCCGAGCGGTTCTCCGCAGCGCTCTGTCAAGCCTCGGCCTCGGAGACGCCGGGCTGCGCGCCCCGCCCGCAGAGGCGCACCCCCCCGCTTCCCGCCCGGTGGCACAGTCTGGCGAGCGTCAGGCGCCGCGACTCCCGGGGCAAGGGCGGGCCCAGGCTGCGGGCTCGTCCACTCAAGCCCGGCGGAGGGGGGAGGCCGAGTCGGCCCACTGCGGGGCGAGGGGGGCGGGGCAGCCCCTGACGCGGGCGGGGCTCGGGGGCGGGGCGAGACCCCCGGCCCACCAGCGAAGGGCCGGCAGCTTTCCTCCCCACCCCGAACTCGCCTCTGCAGCCCGGTGGGCTGGTTGGAGGCTGATGAGTTTATGAGGAAGTTTTCTTCTAAAATGAGCCCCAAGGGAGTGGGAAAAGCTACATCTCTCCATCTGAAGCTTTGTAACTCAGGAGGCTAAACTCTTAAGCCTTTGGCCATAAGCCTCCAACAGCAGTAACACAATGGACTGTTTAAAGGTTATTTTATTAAATATCTTCAGTTCAAGGTTTCATTGTAACAAAGCTAGAAGGGTCTACCAACATTCAGAACAAACACTAACTATTTTTAAATTATTTCTATGTCATCATGCAAAAATTCTGCATCAAATGCCTTCCATTTCCTGTTTAAAAGGTGATTTTTTTTTTTTTTTAATAGTCTATTGTCTATAGATGCTGACATTAGCCCCAGAAGAGGAGTAAGAATGCTAAGAAGTGGGGCTGGAGCAGCCATATGAAGCTATGGGTCTTAATGAACTCTAAGACCATTTGTCTTCAAGCCAGCAAAACCAAACCCTGTGGTGAAGGTGTCTGCGTGCTGGTACTGCAGGCTGCAGGGCAAGAAAGGGCTAGGCCCAGGGGCTGAGGCATGCATGAGGTGCTCAGAGGAGCCTGGCGGAACCCAAGCACCAGCACCTGTGAGTCTGCTCTCTTCTTAGCTGGCTCCAAGGTAAACCTGTAGCTTTGCCTCTTCTCCCAGCTCCTGTGCCTCCTGAAGGTAGTCCAGGAAGCTGGGGTTTACCCACCTTTCCCCCAAAAGTGCAGATATTTGTGCAGGTAAGTCTGCACAGTTGTTTTGGGGAAACCAAGGCCATGACCAATTGCTCCTCCATTATCTTCTCTGCTATCTGCTTACAGTATAGATCTTTCCCTCCTGGAATGGAACTCCTTGAGCACAGAGAGGGACAATGAATGTTGGAGCCTTGGCTCTGGACACCTCTTTTGGGTACATGCAGGTGGTGGGGGGGGGTGATGCCCATGCAGATTGTCCAGCAGTAAGTCATATACTTCAGTTGGTCAGTAGAGAGGCCTCTTTAAAGAGAACACCTCTTCTTGCCAGAGCAGTCAGGTCAATCTCAAAGACAGGAAAAGAGATGGACGTGCAGCAAGGGAAGAGTAAGAAGGGAGGCAGTCCTGAGGGCAGCCTGAATGCATAGAAACAACCATCAACTCAATCCCGCTGCCTCACTCCTCCCATCCCACAGGGGCACTTGGCAGAGGGCCCAGGCCCAGAGGAGGGTCAACACAGGGACCACCACCATGAAAAGGCAAGACAAAGATGGTCCAAATCAGCACAGAAACAGAACTGCCAAAGGCAGCAAGGGGAGCCCTGACCAGGGCCTGGCTCTCTCCTTGCTAAGTTATAAGAAAACAAACACAAAGCAAAGCAGCAACCCCTCCCTCTTCCCAGCTGCAGGTATTGGGCCTCAATATCAGGGCCCACGTGCATTGTGCATCCTATAGAAATGGATGAGTGAGTACATGTCAGACTAACACGAGGTTTCTCATCAGCTTCGTAGCGGACACACTTCTGCAGCACCAATTCTCTTCCCTTCTACGCTAAATGGAACAGTACAGCAACGTCCAGGCCCTCAGTCCCGAGGCCACTGCTTCTCAGCTGCCTCCACAGCAGGCTGGGAGCTCTGCGTTCTCTCCCAAGTAGGTCTGATGGCCACGATGTTCTCATCAGCCTCATTCTAGGCGCTATGCAAGTTCAGAAGAAGTCCATTCCTAGACCTGGGGCAGGCAGGCCACCTCAGGGGCTGCAATCACATCACAGCCCCCAAAGCTCCGTCAGAGTTCTTGCCTGGTCCCCTGAGTCCACGGAGGCCAGAGGCCGAGCTCACCTCTTCAGGGCTGGTGGGTGAGCCGGCTGCTCATGCCAGGACGGGTGTCACACAAACTCCTGCCTTCTTCCCAGCCCAAGGGCTATCGGTGGTTTTAAAACGCATCATGGTATGGATTCCATTTTTTTTTAAACAATCTTTTTTTCTTTTTTTTTCTTAAATGTAAAAAACACCTCGGTACAGCAGAGACAGACACGAAGGGCGGGCGGGAGGGCTGCATGCAGGGGCGTGCATTGGCTGCTGCCGCTTTGTAATTTAATTGTTTAAACCTCAAACGAACAGGACTGCCGCTGTCACTCAGGCCCTCCAGAGCCTCTGGCTGCGAAGGTTTGACCTCCGGCTGGGATCTCCTAATGCCCCTGTCAAAGAGGACAGATGTGGTAACAGAACAAAGGACAATAAGCACACAGATGAGTTCCAGGGACTTCCAACACACGACACACGTGGCCAAGTCTGCCTGAGAAGGTGGAGGATGGGGGAGAAGCTAGAATTTAAATATAACATCGGGGGCGCCTGGGTGGCTCAGTCGTTAGGCGTCTGCCTTCGGCTCGGGTCATGATCCCGGGAACCTTGGATCGAGCCCCGCATCGGGCTCCCTGCTCCGCGGGAAGCCTGCTCCTCCCTCTCCCACTCCCCCTGCTTGTGTTCCCTCGCTCGCTGTGTCTCTCTCTGTCCAATAAATAAAATCTTTTAATAAATAAATAAATAAATATAACATCGCTTCACATTTGCTGAACAAATGCTTCACTTATGAGTATCTTATTTAATCCTCAACTCAGTAAAGTAGCTACCCCCCCTTTTGACAGCTAAGGAAACTGAGGCTTAGGGTAGGGAAGTCACCTGTCCAAAGTCACTCAACTTGGAGTCCTGGGGCCAGACACAAGTCTGTCTGATGGCTGCTGCCACTCCTCTGGGATGGTCCACGTACCCCCCCCTCGTGCCACTTTTCAACCTCCTCGTCCTCCTCTGACCCCATCTGTCCCCTTCCTCACCCCCCACCAGGTGCACCTGTGGCTGAGCTCACTGCAGCGGTGCAGCAGGGGCTCCTGAGCAGTGATAGTGGACATTGAGCCACTTGCCATCCCGGCGGTGCCAGACCCGGGTCTCCTCCGACTGGCTGGTGCGAGGCCGACCCTGCCCATCGATGTACTGGGTGAGGCGGATGTAGGCGATGCAAGCTGCGTCCTCCCCGATCACGTGGACGTGTGGGTTCAGGATGGTGGTGTGGATGGGCTTGCTGTTCTTGGACAGAACTGCAGGGGGCAAGGCAGAGTGCGGGAGGTAGGAGGGCGTCAGGCCTGAGCACGGATTTCCCTCCCCGCCTGCACTTCAGGTCTCACCCTCTCTCCAGCAGCCATTCTGGGAGTCTCTAAGTCCCCCACACACCAGAGGCCAGGAAATCCCAGAACATTAGTCTCAGTTATCCAAAAGGAAGAAAGAGGTGGAGAACGATGATAATAGCAACTGCTACTTTAATCAGACATTGTGCTGGGGGTTTTTACATACATAAGCTATATTTCTTGGTCAATATGATTATCTTTATTATAAGATGATGAAACAGGTTCAAGGACGTTAAGTAATTTGCTCAAATCACACAACATTTGAACTCAGGACCATCTGACTCTTCACTTAAACCTAAGATCTTTCCACTCTTCCAGGCTGATGTTTAGATTTCATAAGGGTTGGCTTGTCCCTAACTGGCTGCAGAGCAAAATCAAGAGCTTAAGATTTCAAAGTGCATTTGTGATTTAGGAAAAAAAAAAAAAGTCCAAGGTTAAAATAGAATCACCAAAGCACCAAGCTCAGGAGATCCCCAGGGTTCTCAGGTTTCTCTGGGGGAAAGGTAAAAGAAGTTGTGTTACCATTATCACGAACAAAGGCAGATTGGGTGGCTTTTAATGAGATTCACATTTTAATTCATTTCAAATGTGGGACAGGGGCTACCTGAGACCCTCCCTAGGGCTTCTATAAACTCTGAAGCTGCTTCTGGCTAATAGAATTACTTAGATAGCCAAGGGTTTACATTTGCAGCTGAGATATGAAGGGGTCGGTAGTTAGTAGAGAAAACAGTGACAAAATAAAACAGAACTCCGGGCAGGATGGGGAAGGCCTAGGGTAAAGTGGGAAAGAAAGGAAAAAAAAAATAGGGAGGAGGAGGGTGCTAGAGAGTGGCGAGAAAGACAGGAGGAGGTGGTGATTCATCTTCTTATCCCCTGGGACTTCCATGAACTGTCCAGAGTGCACAGCCCCTCAGCCAGCACTGTCTCCCTCCATATTCAGGAGGGACCCAAGCCACAGCTTCTGATCTCACAAATCACCTACAGTGCCCTGCTACTTGCTTGTATATTCTTATCCTGGTTTTACTTTCCTCTACTGTGAAACCTGTAGATAAAGAGCTTCATTATTACTTGCTGACATCTCAACCTGATCTCAGTGGTTTCCAGTCTTCGCGGAAAGAGGTGAGGCTGAATGGAATAGTGACCCTGACTGTGAAACCAGTTCTGCCACAAAGCCGCTGCAAAATGATGGGGCACGTGGGGCTCTGGAGCAGGTCCTTCCAAGGTGTCAGTTTAAGACCATCCTCGGGGTACAAGGAGGCAAACACATAGACCAGGGTGCAGCCAAGCAGATCAAATAAGGGAAAAGCAGGCAACTGGGAAGAGGAGAAGGTGAGCAGGGACAGAGGCAAAGGGGGTGAAGGGGCAGGCAGGAGTATATCAGCAGCACGAACCCACTCACGATTCTCAAAGTAAAACTTGTGGAAATCCATCCCCTCCACGAGGTTACCAAGGGCCTCAGGCTCAAAGGAAGTGAGGCCTGGATCGCAAATCTTCCTGCAGAAAGAAAAGCAGCCTGTCAGTCTCCTACAGGGGTGACTTGTCTTTTTTTCTTGTCAGTGGCATCTGTCCTGCAGCAGGTTAGCTGCGGGCTAGGCCTGACAAGATGGCTGAGATCTTAGGGGGTGCGGGGTACTATCACAGGGTATCTACCTGGGAGAGATCCCAGCCCAAGGGCCTGGTGTTTAATCCAGACACTATGCCCAAGGCCCAGCTTTCCCTTTTCCCAGGGTCCAAGTTGATTTTGGGGAGGAGGGAAGGCCTCAAGAGATGACTTGGGTCACAAGGAAATGGGTCTCTACTCACGTGTAGGCTTCAAAGTCCCCATTGTTGATGGCCTCAATCAGTTGTTCTGTGATCTTAATGATCTCCTGTTTTCGCACTGTGGGGGGAAAAACCCAGCAATTTACTTGCATGGAACTGGGGAGCTCCCAAGTGACAGAGCCCTCCCCAATCCTTCAGAGAATCCCCTGTGATCTCTGTGACAAAGATAACCCTCTTCCCTGTCTTGAACATTAAGGCCCTCTGCAGGAAGAATGAGCCCACTTTTCTCTTCATTCCTTCTCTGTTGTCCTATAGAGCTAACGGCCCCCTCCTCCCGAAGCCCACCCATTAGGTATGGTTCTCTGGCCTTTGTCTCCCTCTCCATCCACAACCAGGATGCAGAAAACACTCTTGTCTTTTACAGTTGAGGAGCCTGGCCATCATTAATACTCCGCCCAGGGTCCGTGTATCCCATCCCCAGCACGTTCAGCCTCTCTAAGAAGCATCTCCTGATACGGCTATTTCCACCACCTGCTTACTTCTCTCACCTGAAGGGGCTCAGTCAGGTCTCAATTACCACCACCACCACACCACCCCTAGCCCTCCCTCAGTGGTCCACAACCTAGCTCTGGGCAACAGCCAGCCTGAGAGCAGAACCCAGCCCGGGATGAGGGCTCTGAAAGGATGAACAGAGCCCTGGGATGGATGCTTAACTCTCTTCCCCCTGCTCCTCTCCTCCACAGGACTTTTCTGGGATAAAGGATCTCGGAACTATAAACATTCTTTTTAAGTGGAGCTTCTCACCAGAGAGATGGCTCCATTTACCCTGGACGAGCCTTGGGAAAGCTCTAAATCTCACACCAACTCTCAGGCCAGGATGTGTCCCTCAAGAAAACCAGGACAAGGCTCAGAATGACAGGCAGGCAGAATTGGTGCCCTCAGAGGCCCCCACCCCTACCCCATCCAAAGCCAAGGGACTGCTGCTGGTGGTATCCTGACAGGGAGCACCACCATGAGCAGGGGCACCACTAGGGTAAGAGAGGGCTCAGATTGCACTCAGGCTAACCCTGACCAGAGCCCCGGGCTGGCCCAGGCTCTCCTCACAGGAGTGGGAGGCTGCGAGACAAACGTGTGCATTAGAACAGCTGGGAGAGGGCCCCACAGCCACCAGTCCTGTGGTGGAGGCAGCTCCGGGTGAGTAAGCAGCACGTTAGGGGAACAAACGAGCTCTATCCACATCCCAGAGGCAAGCAGGCAGGTGTACGTACGTACGTACACACACACACACACACACACACACATACACACACACACACACACATTCTCCCCAACCCCACCAAACCCATTTGCAGGACCTGACTGGGGCCCTATGGGTGAAGAGGATTGTGTTTATAAACTCTAAAAGGATAGATGGTAGAAGGAAAAGAAGCAGACAAAGGCATTCTCTACACAGACACAACTTAAAATATAAATATGAGCTACCATTAACCCAGCAAGGCATCGTATCAAGACATTCTACTATCTCATTTATTTTTCATGACAGTGCTCTGAGGTAGGTGCTGTTTTATTCCCACTTTACAGAGAAGGAGGCTGAGGCTCTGGGAGGTGTAAGCTGCTTCACACATTTCTGGAGGTAGTGTAGCTGGGGATTTAAACTCGGGTCTGTTTCACCCCAAGCCTCACGCTCTTAATATGATATGCTGAGCCTCAGGCAACACCACATCTCAACATGGTTCTTGGCTACGGCAATTTCATCATCAGCCCCGCTCCCACCACCTTTGACTCTGATTTCGGACTCGGCCTTTCTTTTTTGCTCATTGCTGCCGTGAGGCCCACCGAATGTCCCGGGGGCTTTCTGTTCCTTCCCACCATGCCAAGTTCTTCTACCCACTCTCCTTTATGTCTTTGGGCCCTGGTCCCAGGGGCCCCTGCCTGGCATTAACAGCACCTCCAATCAGCTCCCCCACCCAGCAGAGGCCGAGCTCCCCAAGCTTACTAAGATAGCTGGGTTGGGCTGACAGCTCTGGGGGGGTGGGGGGGAGATCCCTGAGGGGCTTCAGGATGAGCCAGGGAGACAGAAGCCAGATTGTGCCTCCCTCACACTTACTGGCTGAGGAGCAGAGAGAAGGCTGGGGCTGCATGCCTGCAGAGGGGGCTGTTCTGTCCCGGGAGCTCCGTCCTTCAGGCCCCGAGCTGCCATTCCCAGTGCGGAGCGGGGCAGCTAGCCAGCCAGGGCAGGGCAGGGCAAGGCAGAGCAGCCAAAACAAACAGAACAAGGCAGGTGAGCGAGCAAGCCAGACAGGACCCAAGCCCGTGGCACTGCAGAGCCGGGGCAAGGCAACGCCTCGGGCTGCTGTGGACACCTGGACCACATCCCACGCTGCCGCCTCTGCCAGAGAGGCCTCCCAGCTGACAGCCCCAGGAAGGTGCAGACTTGGGCTTGTGGCTTCCAGAGGAGCCTTCAAATAGCCTGTATAAGGACCCCTGCTCCCAGGGAAGATGTTGTAGGGGGCCAGGCTACAAGGTCAAGAGCTGTGAAGGAGCCACTCCACAGCATCACCAGAACTGAACTGCTCTGGCTTGAATCCCAGCAGCCCTAGAGGTACTGTTCTTTACTACCTTATATGTTTATGCTTTCTATTTTTTGGTTCCCAAAGGTTTAGTGCCCCTTTACTACCCCTGGGTGTGCTCTCTCAGCTCTGTCCTTCAGCATTTCTCCATCTGTTCTGCGAGCCTGGCCTCAGGTCACTTACTGATGGCAAAGGGAGCAATTCCAAGAGGCCAAACAGAAGAGCAGGACAGAGATTCCCGGTGGTCTGGTCTGCCATGCCCTCCCACACCCCATGGCCCTCTGGCCAGGCCCACACTTAGGCTGGTGGTCCTCAAGGGACCACCAGGACATGGCCAAATGTGGTCCTGATTCCATCATTCATGACAAGACTTTGTGACAAGAGTCACTGATCCCAATGTGCCCAGGATGGTTCCAGTTTTAAAACTGAATGTTCCACATCCTGGGAATCACCTCAACCCTAGGGGAATCAGGACAATGGGTCACCCTCCTAATGACTCACTGTATTTGTGGGCTACTTCTACAGGGACTCAGGACGTTCCTGCACTGGGATGTCACATCATTATCAGCAACAGGAACAGTTCTCTGAGCCCTAGCCCTGGAAGGCCTCAGGAAAAGCTCTGGTTTAGCTATTCCAGACTTGGGGTCAAAGAAGAGAAGCCTCTTGCCCAGCCCAGCCAGGCCAGACAGGGACCTTACATCTTAGCCCATGAAAAGGAGCTTTTTATGCCAAGCCCTCTCCCAGAGTATAAGGAGTCATCATTCTCAGTTCTGGGGACAAACAAGAGCCAGTGTACCTGGGACACTGCTGGGGTCCCTTCCCCACCAAGGGCCAGCACCTACCTTTGAGGTCTTCATCTTCTGTGGTGGTGTTGCAGCTCTCTGTGGAGCCCTGTAGGCCAAAAAGAACATGTTTCTATACACTCAGGCCCTTGGACACTAAAGGAACCCAGCAGAACAAAAGCAGAGTATATGCTCCTGCAGGAGGTGCAAGGAAGAATCATAAAAGGTTCGATTTTCACCCTTGCCATCTGACTTTTTTTTACAGAACCCTGGATTCCCAAATGCAGTCTTCCCCAACGCCCTACTCTTCCCCAACTCGGTAAATGACACTATCTATCCTGTTGTTAAAACCTGGAGTCCTCTTCTAGGTTTGATTCTAGGTTGAATCTTCGCTTTCTCTCTTTCCCTTACATTTTCTTTATCCAACCTAAATTCAAATCTATCAGTCCTACCTCCAAAGTAAATCCTGTCTCCTACCTCTTCTCTTCATTTTTTTAAAAAAGATTTTATGGGGGCGCCTGGGTGGCTCGGACGGTTAAGCGTCTGCCTCCAGCTCAGGTCATGATCCCAGGGTCCTGGGATCGAGCCCCACATCGGGCTCCCTGCTCCGCGGGAAGCCTGCTTCTCCCTCTCGCTCTGCCTCCCTCCCTGCTCATGCTCTCTCGCTCTCTCTCTTTCTGTATCTCTGTGTCTCAAGTGAATAAATAAAATCTTAAAAAAAAAAAAAAGATTTTACGTTGAAGTAATCTCTACACCCAACGTGGGGCTCGAACTCACAATCCCGAGATCAAGAGTTGCACGCTCTATCAACTGAGCCAGCCAGGCACCCCTGCCTCTTCTCTTCAAACGCACAGCTACGCACTGAGTCCAAGCGACCAGTATCTGGCATCTAGACTATAACAGCTTCCCGGTCCCCCTGCATCCATGCTTGCCTCCTCCCTAAAGTTCTTGCCCCTAACATGGCCAGAGGGGCTTTTCAAAGTGTCAGACTACATTACTCCCCTGCTAAGAACCTCCAGTAGCTTCTTGCTGCTGGAAGAAGATGCATACTGCTCTGAAGTCCCATGTAGCAGGCCTCCTACTTCTCCAGCGTCATCCCCCTCCTGCCGCTCTCCCCCGGCCTCATGCTCTGGGCTCCGCTTCATTTCCTCTGTTCTGTATATAGGCTAAGCCCCTGCGCTTGCAGCTCTCCCGTCTAGGGCACTCTGCCCCACAGTCTGCCTGGCTGTCTCCTTCCCACCGTTTCGTTTTTAGCTCAGAGACTCAGCTCCCGAGGGAGGTCCTTCCCTGACCACTTAAAGAAAAGCCCTGTTCATCCCTTCTCTTTCCTTTGTGTCATTTTCTTCATAGCTCTTACCACTATTGGATTTTATCTTACTTACATGGGTTTTGGTTTATTATCTGCTTCCCCTACACCCGTGGAGAGAGATTTTTGTCTTGTCACCTCTGTAGACCAGACCCATGGATGGTTTGGGGCTCAGTAAATATTTACTAATGGGGGTGCCAATAAGACGACAAAGTTATTGACGGCATAATGGGGTGAGGCAACGGAGGATGCTCTAGGGTCTGATTACACTCTTGTCTCTTTTTCTAGCTGTTTGCTGTCATTTAAGCCTCACAAGTCATGGAGGGAGATGCCATTATTATTATCCTTCATTCACAGATAAGGAAATTGAGGTGCAGAGTACTACAGTGACTTACTCAGTGGTCCAGGATTCAAACCCAGGCCCGTCTGACTATAGGGCATGAAGCATAATGCCCTTTCAGGGACTGGAGTGACAAACAGGTACACACTATCCCCAGCCTAGACTCTGCACACATCTTGGCCTCAAGGCGCGGCCTGCAGGCTGCCATCTGCAGGCCCCATAGACCCTGGGACCCAGCCCACCTGTTTCTTGCTGGTCCCTAAAGCAGGAGACCAACTCAGGAGCCACTCACCTTGATCCCATCTGTAGCGTTGTGTACCACGGTGGTTTGTGGCTCCTGTGAGAGAAGATGAAAATTATCCTCCTGACCTGGGGACAGAACCACGGCTCTTCCCTGAGGGACCCCATCCTTTAGCCCAGTCCCTCTTAGACCCTATGATGACCACGGAGGCCTGCCCACCAGCCATTCCCACAAGACAAAATATCCTGGCTCACCTGGGTCCCAGGTAGCTGGGAAGCCCCAGATTTAGGGGATAGTACTGGCTGAGTAAGAAGGACAGGCCTGGCACTTAACAAGAGCAGGTATCAGAGAAGCTGAGAGGACAAGGGCCTCTGTCCCCGATTCCTGCTGGATCTGAGGGTTCTTTCCCCACGGGACAACTATGCTGGAGGAGCCATGGGGCTGAGGGCCCAGGCCAGGCCCCGCCAACAGCGTTCACCAAGGGGTGTGTAGGAGGCGGGGACATAGAGAGACCAGACTAAAGTCTCCCAGAAAGACCCAGGATGGCCCCTCAGCAAGCTGAGCCCAGGGAGCTGCCTGCTTTACCACCTTGTGACTTTGCCAGAGTTCCTGGCCCTGTTGTGCTGTGAGGCAGCACGAGGGTCCCGGGCTGCAGGCAGAAGCAGCAGGCCCACCACCCCTCCGTCTCTCCCAGGCATCCCCCCTGCGAACTCTCTAGTTAGTCACTACCAGCAGAAAGAGCTCTGGGAGCACACGGTGCCCCCAGCATGGGGCACTCCAGGACCTCAGAGGCCTCAGCACCATCCAGAGGTGGGGGACCCTAGCCCTCCTTCCTGTTTGTAGCTTTGCAAAGGAGAGGCTGAGGCAGGTTTTACAAGGAGGCCTCCAAGAACTGAACGACAGGTCCCAAGAAAGCTCCTACCCTCTTCTTTTATAAGCCACTCACCTTCCCGGCCCCCACGGCAGACCCATGGGGGCCCTGCCTGGGGCTAAGAGGGTTAGCTGAGAGCCCTGACCACTCTTCCCCACCCCCAACAGCAGAAGGAGCAGGAGCGGAAGTTGTGCAGTGCAGGAAGGAGTATGGCCACACGGGACAATGAGGGGGAAGGGGCCCACGGGGCAGGACACAAAGCAGCCTGCTCTACAGGGATGAGAAGGAAAGGGCCAGGGAGGCCTGGGAGGGAGGGCAAGAAGAGGAAAGGAGAAGGAGCGGAAGGCAGCCAGGGGCAGGGGTGGAGAAGCCGGAGTCAGGAGGTACCATGGCCGTCTGCAAGGGCGCGGGCTCTTGGGCTGGGCTTACGAGACTGTTTTTGTTGTTGCTCTGTGGCTGAGACAAGAAAACAGATGGTTTAGTTCCTCTGGAGTCACCAAAGCCGCTCAGGTTCGACTCCCAGACCTCCCTTGCCTCCCGGCCTGGCCCGGAGGAGCTAGGCCTGAGGTGGCCTCCGTAATACTGTGTGGATGGGAGCAATGGTCGGAGAGATGATCGACTGGACGAGGGGAGTATTTGGAGGGGCCCAGAGACCTAACGCTGGAGGCACTCTTAAGGTGGGACCGGGCCAAAGACTTGCTTCAAAGCATTTCTCCAGAAATCTGCTTATGCCAGATGCCATGTCATTGCACAATCACATTTTACCCAAAGAAATTCAGGATCTTCTCATTTTACAGGAAAAAGAAGGGGGGTTTATAAGAAAACAGAACAAAATGCAGAAACTCTGGGTCCCCTATCTGTGGGCAGTCTCCTGCTGCCCTTTCAACCTGCGACCTGCATTTCCTTTCCCTTAAGACACCAGCCTGAAGGCTGATCTGAAAAGAGGAGGAACACGAAGAGAAAGAAAACCTCGCCTAGAAGATAAGTGTCCAGAGAGGAAACAGGGGGGATGTGACTTTGGATACAGAATGCACCCACTGCCCCCAGGGAGCAGAGACAAGGCTGTGCTGTTGGCCTTTCTGCCTGGTAAGTCGTGGACTTGTTCAACTAGGAGTGAGGGCAGAGCTCCAAGGAGGGGCAGGTGAATCCAGGGATGGGAGCTGGTTGTAGCCCCAGAACCCAGCCCCTGGGAGAGAAGGCTGCCCAGCAGGCCAACATTCCTAACAGCAGCAGGCCACCGGGATATCTTGGGACATCTTGCCTTTTGAAACGTTACACCGAGTGGCACAGCAAGGGAGGGTTTGGGGAGATGATTAGGAAGGAAGGAGGCTGCTCTCCAGGGCAGAGAGCCTCTTACGATGCCCTCACCAATGTACTCGGTCTCACTGGGAGTCCCGATGGAGCCAGTGGCCACCGAGGAACAGCCTGATGCCTGCAAGTTCTTCAAAAGACAGAGAGACAAACATGTAGCTACCATCTCTGAGCAGGGCACAAATGAGGACACCCTGGCAGGTAGGATGTGCTTCTTCTCTCCTAGGATACACACGGAAAGCTATCCAGACTGTCCTATTTCTTCTTGCCTGGAGGCTTCTTTTATGGCCCCTTGGACCAGACCTGAAGGCATCCAATCCTAGGTTGCTGTCAACGGCTGAGATGTCCCCAAACCCAGGGCTAGGCATGGAACCGTAAGCCAGGCACCAAGTGCTACCACACCCCACTGAACCCTTCAGGCTGGAGAAGAGGGGTCCCGGGAAGAGTCAGGATATGGGTCAAAACTCATGTGAACTCTGCTCTCTACCATTCCCCCGAGAAGGAGCAGAGCTGTCCTCGCTCAGCTACTAAGTCCGACCTGACCGGATAAGGCTGTCCTGCCTGCAAAGCCCAGGTGAGACAGAGACCGTGGCAGGAGGCAAAGGGCTCCCTTAAACCTGCCCTATCTGCAGAGGGCTGGGATGTCACCCACGTGGCCCCACCTCTGGCTTTAATGGATGGTTTCATAACAATTCAGGCTGCTATGCTCCCCTTGGTGGCCTGGGGCCCATGAGAAAGAAGATGCATTCTCTCTAGTCTTTCAGCTGTCCCCCCTGAGGGCTGGGTGGGAAGGATGAACCGTTGGGCACGGCCTGTTCACCGGCACTCGCCCAGGGGCACAGGCCCAGTGAGTGAGGCTCGGGGCTGTGAGCCTACTGTAGACCAGCTCTTCTGCCCACCGCACACATGCCCGCTGGCTGCCAGTCTGTGCGAAGTGCCCAGCGAGCAGGGCCTCTCCTCCTGAGCGACGGCATGTGAGGGTCTCTCCTTGGGACTCCCCCCAGTCCCTGCTAGCTTCACAACCTGCCCAGGGCTGCTGGAGGCAGTCCAAGCTCTGCAGCGGCGGGGGGTGGGGGGGGTGCCACACCGTACACTCCGATGCCCACCGGTCAGGCCACTGGGAGACCTTGGGCCACGGCCCCCGCCTGGCAGGACAGGCCGCGCGTGCCCATACAGCACAGACATGCAGTGAGGATGAGTGAAGTACACGCACATGGCAGAATGGGGTTGCGTGGCTGGCAGGCGGGTGCAGGCAGCATGGAGTAGGCAGATGGGTGGGCAGGCAAGGCTCACCATTAGGTGCACGCTGGAACTCGACTTCCTTTTCTGGACACACCACAGCGAAAGGGAAAGAGAAGGGGAAAGAGGAGGTAAGAAGAGAAGCACAGAGATGCTGCAGGTTAGTGCACCAGCGCGGGCTCTGCCTCAGGAGAAAAGAGCGGGAGAAGGGGACCTGGAGCCCAGCACCAGAAGGATTCACACAGCACTTAGCCCACCAGGCACACACATGCCTCCGGGCCCTTTGCCGTCAGGTTCACAAACACAGATTTAGTATATTCTAAGATTCTCAGCCTTGCTCACAGAAAGCTTTGTGAAGAGGTTAAGTCACAGGTTTATAAAGGTAACATCTGGCTGCAAATTTATAGGTTGGGGCTTCTAAGGCTGGCTCACTGTAAGGCTATTTATTTTCTCTCATTACTAGGTCTGCCTAAAATTCGGCTGAGCAGCTACCAGGTAAATAGCAAAAGCCATTCGAGGCTGTCCTCAGCTTTGGAAACACTGGACTCCTGAACTGAGCCTTTTTTGCTGCATCCCTACACTGCTTTTCAGAATAAAGATGGTGAGCTTTGGAAAATCATCTGATAAACCGGTGAGTTGGCGGCATCCCTCTCTTTGTCAGTATGGCCATGCTCATCCAGAAGATTTCAGTATCTCACTGCATTTTGCAATTAGTGGGACATGGGAGAACAGGAATGCTGGTGACTAAAACTGTAGTGATCACAAAGACATCAAGATGGAAACCAAGGGAGATGCTGAAAGCATGATTCCTCAGGCCAGATGCTCACGGACGTTATGTTCAGATGTGAAACGAGAGCATAAAAATAAAGACCACATGGAACACTGAAAATACATCTCAGAAGACTGTCTCAAAGGTGAAAGGCACTTAAGAAGTTTATAATTAGCTTCCTGGGAGACAGAACTCCCCTCGGAAACTGTCTATCTGTTGCGTGACTACTGTTCTAGGCACAGTGAATGTGTCAGGTAAATGTTCCTTCCCACCAGAGGCTGACATCCTACTTTAGAGGACATTTTCAGGACAATATTAAATTCAAAAGGAGGGGACTACAAGTATTTAAAAGAATTTAAAATTATACCTAAGGAAAAAGAAAACCTCTAAATAATTGGGCTTCTTCTTTTTTTAGGTAAATTCTATGCCCAACATGAGGCTCAAACCCATGACCCTGAGATCAAGACTCGCATGCTCTACCGACTGAGCCGGCCAGGCGCCCCCAAATTGGGCTTCTTTCTCATTAGCCTGCTGTTTATGCCCCAAATGTGGGATTTTATTTCCAAAATTATTCCTCAAAAAGAGGACATTGCTTTACATTCACACTTATCCTTTTATCCAACCCGAGTGTTTACAATGTGAGGGAAGATCCATCTCTGTCATCTCCTCTGTGCCTAGCAGAATCCCTGAAAAGTTGCATACGATCAACAAACTTTTGCTGAGTTGAACTGGGTTTGCTGACTCTGGTTTTCCCTCAGGCTAAAGCAGAGCACAGGTCTCTAACTTGCCCAGGATCACTGACGGGGCCCATCCTTGGTTCTAGTGATTTCCTTTCTTGCTGTGAAAGGCCGGTGCAGGCAGCTTTCACCTGGACCCTGCCTTAGGCCGAGCACTTTCAATTGTCTGCTTCACCTAATGGGGAGGAAATTCCCAACCGCAGCTGGCTCTCTTTTTCCTCAACTGTCCGGCATGAAAACCCAAGACAATCCTTTTCTACTCAAGGGTTGGTTTCTACTGGATTAGTAGACGTCAGTTCCTCTCTCCCGGATCCTTTCAGGGCTTTGCCCTCAGCCACGCACAGCTGAGCTCCTCTCAACCAGCCCACTGTTTAAATACCAGATCATTTTTAAAGAACCACATCTCACTTTTATTTACAAATTAAATATTTATTTAGAATTGGAAGCCAGAAAAGGATTCAAACCTACTTTCCACACTTAAACAAATATTCAAACAGTTCTTAAGGAAATGACTATATCCCTTTTTCTTTTGTTCCTTTATTTTTTTTAAAGACTGGATGGCCACTCTGGCCTGGGATGAGCAACATGCACTAACTGTCCTCAACTAGGGGCCTCTTGGGATCTGAGCGTTTGTGGCCCCTTCAGTCTTGTCCTCGAAAGTGGCTGTCATTCTTCTACAGACCCTGGGTCCCTGTATCCACTCTCAGAGAAACCGAATCAGAACCTGGGGTCCCTACACTCAAGAGCACTAAGTGGACTCAATGCTCGAACGAATGCTAATATTCCAGCATCTTGTGAAAGCTTCTGGAGAGCGAGGAGGAACCCTTCCTATAGACCTTAAACACCAGGAACTGGGAAGGGAGAAGCTGGGAAAGCAAGGTGGGGTCTATAAGAGACCCAGGCTGCTCACAGGTCAGCATCTTCTGAGCAACCTCACAGGCCTCCCTCATACACACGGGTCGTCACCTTGACCTTCAAAAGATTCCAGAAAAGTTGAACCCCACACATCTTGCTTTGCCTTCCCCCTCTGCCTTTCGCAGCACTTACGTTATATACACGTTCCAAATTCTAAAAGGTCTGCAGCCACGTTAGGAGCAACTTGGAAAACAAAGGGGAAAAAAAACCCACCCATAATCCTATCTCTCTTGCTAGTCTTTTTTCTTATGTAATTTAGAAACGTCATTATAAACTACATCCGAGTTGACGCCTTACTTTTGAAAACAAATAGTATTTTGATTTTAATTGATTTTCAAAGGAATGCACAGTCTAGGTAAGAAACATAGAAAGTACAGGAAAATATATAAAATGAAAGTTTCCCAAATTCCCATCACCCAGTGAAGTTACTATTAACACTTCATGGGGCTTCTTCCAGTTCCTCTTCTATCCACATAATATATACTGAATATGATAGACAAACACATCGTTTTTTAAGCAAAATTTAGATGACAGTGTATGTACTGTTTTGTATCCCACTTTTTCCACTTAAAACATATCATTAGTCATGAAAAATTAATAACTCTGTAAAGGTCTAGTAAATGGGTTTCCTGTAATTATTTAGTCATCTTATTGACTTTTGAAATCGTCTCCAATTTTTTCAGTTAGAATGTCATGTTGAACATCCTTCTACTTTCAGTTTTTCCATACTTTGAATTATTTCTTTTTACTCCTAAAGTTTATTTTAGTAGTCTCTACATCCAGTGTGGGGCTCGAACTCACGACCCCAAGATCAAGAATCACATGCCCTTCCAACTGAGCCAGCCAGGCGCCCCTTGAATTTCTTCTTTAGGAGAAATTCCCGAAGTAAAATTAAAGGGTAAAACCAGCAGGGACAATTTTTGTGGCTTTTGACATGCTGGCTGTTTCCGAAAGGGCCACTGCTATTTACGCTACTCTCCCAAACTTAAGAGTCAAAATACGGCGCCTCATTTCAACTTGCATTTTGCTGATACTAGTGAGGCTAAACCTCCACATTTGTTAACCAGTTCTACCTCTTTTCTGGGTTTTCAGTGCAACCTCTCTGACCATTTATCTACTGGGTTTTGGGGGGGGGGACTCTTATTTGCTAGGGAGAGTTTTTTTTAAGATTTTATTTATTTATTTGACAGAGAGACACAGTGAGAGAGGGAAGAGGGAACACAAGCAGGGGGAGTGGGAGAGGGAGAAGCAGGCTTCCCGCCGAGCAGGGAGCCTGATGCGGGGCTCAATCCCAGGACCCTGAGATCATGACCTGAGCCGAAGGCAGAGGCTTAATGACTGAGCCACCCAGGAGCCCCTACAGAGAGCTTTTTTGTATAAAAATAATATTAACCCTTCATATGACACCTGCTGTGAATATTTTCCTCAACCTGTTGCTGGCCTTTCAATTTTGGTTGGTCATTCCCTTCTTAAACATTTGCATCTTTGCCTTTGTTCCCACCACTATATTCGAAGTCTTTTCTCATGCACAAAACTCGCTGGGCCCATACCAGGGTCAGACACTAGCTTCCCCACATATGTTCCCATTTGAAGCAATTTATTTAACCGTTTGCTTGCCATGCCCTCATCCTTCTCAGTGCTCTGTAAGTTCCGACATTGTTGCACACTTCTGTTCTTCCCCCACCTCTTCTGTCTTTTGATGATTCCTCTTCTTCTTCCAGCCTCTCAATGACAGATGGCCCTGAAATTTTGTCTTTACTGAACTCTTAAACCTTCATGTGCTTTAGATTCATATGGAAGAAGGGGAATATTATTAAAATTCAGATTCTGCCTCCCACCCAAGGCTTCCTGAATCTGAATTCCAGGCTGGACCCTGGAAGCTGTATCTTTTTAATTAGCTCCTTCCACTAATATTACATGGTTGTGCCTGACACTCATCCCTGGGGGCAGCCATCTAGAAAGTTCCATTAGAAATCTATCCTTCAATGGCTCCATTATCCATCTTCTTACCACCATCTTGGCTGAGACTGCTTTATTTCAGTCCTATTTTGTGCAATCATTCTTTCCTTCAGCCTTTCGGAGCTACTGAAGTTCCCAGAATCATCACACTGTTTCAAACCTATATATCTTATGCTATTCCCTCTGCCTGGAATATCCCCCTCCCTCTCCTGCTCACTTCGACCTAGCAAGATCCTTCAACTCAGTTCAAGGGCCATCTCCTTCAGGAAGATTTCCTGTTTTGGCTTAGATGCTGGTCTCTGCTCCCCCAGGGCCCGCCTTGAGCACACCTCCTTCCACAGACCTGCCCAGAGCACCCAGGACTGCTGGTTTCCCTGTCTCTCCCCAACTCTGAACACCTTAAAGGGTGGATTATGTCGCTGTCTTCCCAGCTCCTGAAGGATGGAACTGGCCGAGTGAATGAACGCATGGGATTCACTCACATGAGTCCCCATCTGCATGTGTAGTGCTGACCTCTTCCCTGGGCCACATCAGGTACTCCCCAGCACCTTAGAAGACCTCTCCCCCCCACAGATCTCCACCTGTCTCTCCATCTCAATGGGGTCCAAATAAAACTCTTGCTATCAAAACGGGTATTCCTTCACAACTACTCCCATTTCTAGCAGAGGTACCACCAATTCTTCCAACGTTCAAGGAATTCTGACATCATCTTTGATGGGTCCTTTCTAAACACATCCAGTATGACCTTCCTTTGACACACCTCTAAACAGAGCTAAGAGCTAATCAGAGCCTCACATTCCTGGTGACAGCTGGACCAATTCTCCATAGGTACTGCCTATTCTCGTTGGTTGGTGCCTGGGTTCTTCTGGGGGTGAAGTATTTTCAGTATTAGTCCTTTCTAATCACCTTTTCTTCACCCTATGCCCAGATTATAACAAATCCTAACTGATACCTCTGTGTCTAGTTCCCACCCTCTTCTAGTCATCCTTACACACTCAGCAAAATCTTTTAAAAACACTGCTCTCACCCGTAGCTTCCCTGCTCAGTGGCCTACATTTCCCGTGGTCTGACACACAAACCTCCAATCCCACTGCCCAACCAGACCAATCCAGCCGTAGTTTCGACATCCTCCTACCACAAACCCCGTGTTCCAGTTGGGCAGAGAACATCAATATACAGGATAGAATCCATAAAAATATTTTGTTTTTAAGTTATAACAGGAACACCTTCTCATTTTAAAGAAAACACGTGTACAAAGTGGAAAAATGAAGGGTGTGTCTTTCCACCCTGTCCTCGCCTCCAATCCCATTCTCTAGAGGCAATCGCTGACTGGGCTCCAATCTTCCTACATCCTTTAAGCTTTCTCCAATAAGTTTTTGCCCAGTAGCTTCTTGGACTGAACCATGTAATGTAGGGTCCAGTACCATAGACCATTCAGTGCTTAGCTGATCCCAGGTGTGTCCAATTTCCTCCTCAATTAACCTTGCAACTTCTCAAAGCTGGATGAAAACCACATCACCTCTTCTACCTTTTGTGGGCCCCTAGAACTGAGTGCAGCACTGGGCCTCTGATAGGTACTTATTAAATACTTTGTAAAGAATAACTGATTCTAGCTTCTTTCCTGGATAGAAATATGCAAAATCTCTCTCTAACTAAGCCTGCCACCTTTTCCTAACTTGGTTCCCCTATTCCAGTTTATGTCCCTATAACTGGGGGGCTGCTGGTCACAGCCCTAGATTCATGTCAGTTGGTGTGTGTGGAGCCCAAGCTCCCCTCCTTGGTGCAGAAGCACACAGAAGCAGGCATGCAGAGAATGAGGGAAAGAGGAAGGGGAGTGGGGAGGGGAATGGGGAACACGTGTATATCTCAGCTGGGGGCAAAAGATCCTGGGGAAAGGCCCAATTTCAACTTTGGTTGGGATGTAAACGTTTGGATAACTTCATCGTTTGAAATACCCTATGGTGTAAATTGGTAGGCTTCAAGATAGTATGAACGCCTATCCGATGCCCCAGCCCCAGGACCCGTTCTGCCCCCAAAGCATTTACAGAACACTCTGGGCCCTGTGAGGACCCCTAGCCACCTTTCCTTCCCTTTCACCAAGAAGCCACTCCCACTAAGGCTTTCCGCTGGTCCCCGTGGGCCCCTGTTCTCTCCTCTTGCTGTGATCCCACGGGAAAATCTCCCTCATCAAATGGGAGCGAGCTGCGATATACCACATCCCTCGCCTGTTTCTGAGGAGCCTATGCCTCTAGAAAGTTGAAGACACTTTTCACTTAGTGGCATTTGAGCTGAGTTCTGGAATTGCTTTGGAGATAAGACAAAAAACTAAAAGGACAGTGGCTTCAGGTTCCAAGCCCTGTACCCTGAGTCAACCGGGCCAACTTTGCTTTCATCTGATAAAAAGGGTTTGTGCTCCAAAAAGAAAAAGGGAAAAAGAAGATTACCCAAATGACCTCAAAAACCCTGAGAGTCAAGCCGTGGAGATGAGGCATGTGTCTGCAGTCAGGTTCAGGACTGAGCTCTAGGAAACCATAATTTAGATCACTTCCCCTGAGTCTTTATGTTCAAGCTAGGGTCAAAAGAAACACATCTTTCTTCTGCCCTCTCAGGCCAATGGAACCTGCTGTTCTGAGCACAAAGGTTTCTGGTTTTAAAGCAGAAAAGCAAGGATAGGAAGGTTCCTGGGGAAAGGAGGAACAAAGCCAAGAACCCCTCTTGGGCTAGAGGGGTGGAGACACCTACCTTGACACCACCGTCCGACTTCTTGTTCAGTAGGCTTTTGGCAGCTGTGAAAACAAAAAGGAAAATCAAGCCTCTTGCATTGTCCCCTCTCCCTAGCCTGAAGTCTGGCAGCCGGATCCGCAAGAGTCTGTTGTGTCTGACAAGGGGGCCAGGAGTCTCCTGAAGCCCCTGGAAGAGGCCCTTCCTGGGAGCCCCAAAGTAAGAAGGGCATCTCAAGCTGCGTCAGATCCTCAGGGAGGCGCCCCAGGATCTCTCCCGCCACGGAAGAGGGCTCAGCGGGAACAGGGACACACTGCACATGGGAGGAGAAACCACATTCAGTACAGGAGCTGCCTGGGGTACTGGGAACTCTGCCTTCAACAGCTTCCACCCAGGTCTGGAAGCAGAGTGCCGGGGTGAAAGGTGAGGGCTCCGTCCCTAGATGCCATGGAGTTCCTCAGAACGGCCAAGCTGGAAGGATGCAAGACATCTCCTGAGAGCTCTTAAGAAACAAGAGTGTCACAGTTCACGAAGGGGACCAGACGTGAGGACAGACAGACACAGACACAGAGACCAGGACCACCTACAGGAGGGTTTTGCCAGGGGGGTTGAAGCCTTGACTGGGCAGGTCCTCACCAGGCTTATGGGGTCCTATCTGCCCCTCTCTCCTCAGTCTACTCTCTGGAACCACTGAGCAGGAAGGACTGGGCCGAACAGCGAGGTAGTAAACGGATTCCGGCCAGGCACAGGATGAGGCTCAAGGCTGACGAGCTTTGTGGAGGAAGGCTGGTGACACCTGCTGGTCACCAAGGCCACAGGAACGTAGCAGACAGTGGGATGGGAGAGTCTGGGAGGCACAGGGGGATGGAATCAGCCCAACTGTCTGATCCACCTGGACTTCACTGGCTCTACCAACTGCTACCTGTATGACACTGAGTGAGTTACTTAAATCTCTCTGAATCTCCGTTTCCTTATAAAATGGGATAAAATAGGGCCTAGGTCACAGGACAGGGGTGGGGACCTAAGGGGACCATGCATGAAGAGCACTAGGCAGAGTGCCTGGCACGTAGCAAGTACTCACTAGGCGTAAACCATTGTCACTATTACTGCTGCGATTCTTCCCTCAGGGGCCATTCCTACCCAAGCCGGGTCCCATCTCTCTCCAGTGAGAATAGGGATCCCTCCCTCACCAGAATTCTGACCTCCCAAAATGGCCTATGAGCCTATCTCCAGTCATTCTGGGGTGATCTGAAACTTATTTTTTTACATGCTGGGGTGATCTGAAACTTATTTTTTTAATGTGTTTACTATGATGCCTGGCCACCTACTATGTTAAGTGCTTTATACACATCAGAGTTCTGAACTCTGGCTGCCCTTCAGAATCACTTTTGGGGAGCTTAACAAAAATCATTATGCCTATCCCATACCCTAGGGATTCTGATTTTCTTTGTCTGGGGTGGGGGTGTCGGCATCAGGATGTTTGACAGACTGTCCTCTACAGGCAGGGTTGAGAGCCTTCGACATACATGATCTTAATCATCACCATATTATTTATTAGCGCCACCAGAGAAAGGAGGAAACTGAGGCCGGGAGGGCTGACGAGACTCGCTCAGGGTGTGGCAGGGCTAGGATCCAAACCCAGGGATGGCTCTCCCCACAGCTTCTACACTCTAGAGCCTTTCAGACTTGGAGGCCTGTAAATGCCAGACTTCACAGTTTTGAGGGGGATGGTGGCTTCCTCTGTGGGGTCTCCCAGCAGTGCTGACGAAGCCTAGTCCTAGCACTGGGCAGCTCCGGCCACGCCCAGGACTGTCTCTTGGGGGGCGGGGGGGCTGCCACCGGCCACAGCCCTCAGGCAGGCCAGGCTCTCGGCCGTCTGGAGGAAAGCCTCCTGCTGCCCAGCTCCACGTCCCCAGGCTATTGCCTCCTGAGAGTTGGCAAGCGCCCAGCATGCATGGCTGGTTAGGGGGCTCTGTGACACCAATGCGCTCGCAGATGCCAAGTTAGGTGGTCCGTCCGGCATGCCCATCTCAGCCCGCAAGCATGGGACTCGCCTCCCTGGTGAGTGGGCCTGGCATGCTGGCCCTCCTGGTGGGGTGGCAGGGAGCCGAGGCAGGCGGTCGGGGGACTCATGCCACGTACCTTGCCCGGCCAGGCCGGCGGCGCTCGCGGCAGGCGAGGCGGGGGCGGAGCTCTGCCTGCCAACTGAGGGGACACAATCTCTCAGTGCACAGAGCTGCCGCAAAGCCACAGGGGCCCGTCAGCAGCGAGCATGCCCCAGCACGAGGCGCGGGAACCGCTGGCCGCCCACGCACAGCAGGGCCCAGGCGGCGTGGCCAAGCCAGCCGAGCTGGGGGAGCGAAGGCGCCAGGGGCAGGCTGATGAGCAGGTGCAGCCAGCCCTGCAGCAGTCTGGGGACCTGAGAGGACTGGGTTCGGTCAGGGTGTGGGGATCACCACAGCTCTGGCACCTGTCCCATGAGCACCTCAGGCCAGGGTCTCCAGGTAAAAGCCTGAATCGGTGAGAGGTGGTGTCCTTTCTGAGGCAGCCGAGCCCTAGCTCGAGGCTGTGAGGGAACGGAGCCTCCCCGTCACACCTTCCCTCCCTAGGGGACCTAAATGAGGACATTATCGGAGGCGCCTGTCCTCTGGCCATATTCCAAACAGGATGGACTCTGGCATTTGGGGCCCAGGGTGCATGGCCCTCGTGCAGCTAAGTTCACTGATGGGCCCCAGCTCCCTAGCCCTCTCTTAATCCTCTAGTTCGTCAGAGACATGGGTTGCTTTCCTTCTTCCAGGCAGGTAGCCAGGACAGACCGTTTTTCTCAGGCTGTATTTCAGTATTCCGAGGGTGAAGATGCCCAAGAAATGAGCCCCCGGAAAGAAAACAAAGGCTGCTGAAGCCATACATTCTAGAAGCCCTGATTCCACTATTAGCCAACCTGGTAGAGGCCAGGTCGCACCCCCTGTTTGGGGTAAACAGCAAACAGCCTAGTTCACGCCTAAAAAAACAAAACCACACAGGTGCTCTTCCTTCTTGATTATACCTGGTGACACCTCTTTCTAGAGAAGCTTCTAGAGATAGGCTCTGTCCCCACCTGTTCCAGAGTCAGGGCAGCAGAGGTCATCCTAGAATGCTTGTAGCACTTTTTTGGTCTCCTCTGACCCAGGGCAAAGCGAGCTCAATGGCTGACAAGGTCTGGGCAACAAGAACAGGAGGAGGCTCTTTGTCCTAACAGAGAGCCCAGTCTCCTGAAACCAGGATACCAATTTCCTGAAATGGATTGGAGGCAGTTGGGGGGGGGGTGGTTTGAGGTGGAGGATTTCCCAGGCTAGAAGGGAAGTAGTAGGCTGTCGTCACATTTCTTCTACTCGGAGAGACAACAGATCACCATTCTAGTTTGGCACAGAAATGCCCTCGAGCGTCCTCCGGAAAGGCCCTCACACTTCTGAGAAAGTAGAAGCTTCCAGTAATTCTGAGGACAAGAAGTCTGATATGGAACTACAGCTCCATCTCTACTCTCATTTGTGAGAGTAGAATCCACAACCACATCTTCCCCTCATGGATACCCACATAAGAATGAGCCCCAAACCAGGAGCACAGGGGATGGGCCTGAGGTGGGACGCTTCCCTGGCTCACTCTCCAGTCCTGCCCCTCCGGCACCCGGTGGCTCTTGCTTGAGTTAGAGCGCATGAAGCCCTAGGACTTCTCCCCTACAGCATCCTCAGACCCGGGGCCCTTAGGTTACCCTGAACCAGCACAGACAAGCCCCTCAAGCTCAAGGGAGCAACCTTAGCCCAGAGTGGCGGCCAAACAACCCTGTCTCCACATCAGTGTAGAAGGAAAGCGAGGGAAGGAATCTCGCTATGAAAATGCGAGAAGGGAGGCTTCAACCAAAACAGTGGGACTGGGGGGTTGCAGGACTGGGAAGGCCGGGTCGGGGGTGGTGGGCAAGGTGGGAAGAGACCTTCTGCCTTCAGTTAAGTTTTGACATTAATCTTTTCCTCACAGAAAGCCACTGTGCTTCCCCACTGAGGGCAAACAAGATGGGGGTGGGGGTGGGGGTGGGGGTGGCGCGGGGTGGGGCGGGGTGGGGGTGGGGCGGGGCGGAGTGTCTTGCATCTTAAAAAGAAACGCCAAGTGATTTACAAATTACTGGTCCCAACTATCCCAATTTTTCCGTCAAATTTAAGCAAGTTGCTTTCCCTCCATCCTGCTGCTCTCTCTTTCTTCCCTTTTACAGCTAGTATCGCAAAGCATATTATAAGCACAGTCTCTGGAAAATGATTAAACATCTGGAAAAATTTCTATTAGTCATCGCTATTTAGACACAATGAAGTAGACACCGTCCCGGTAGACAAATTAATGGTGGTGGTTGAGAAGATTCACTACACCTCATCTCTTTCTTTCTTTTCCCCAGCCCATTGTCCAGTCCCCTATCGACTGTCTAACATCCTAAAGCGCTGAAAGTCTTTAGAGAATTAAATAGGAATCCCCAGGGACAAGGTCAATGGGAGGCTGGGCAGGTTACGCCTTGGGAGGGTCTAAGGAATAGAATTCATAAACGTGAACCCAAGAGAAGTCCCCCAGAATCTCGTGTTATAGGACCCAGCAGCGGCAGCCCCCTCAAAACAGGGTCTTCTTCATCTTGGTCAAGGTGTTGCCTGAGACACCCAGCACCAGGATGGCAACACCCCATTCTGACCCACTCACCTCAGCAGAATTAAAGTGCACGGCTGGGGAAACATACCTGAAAAGTTTCTGGAGACAAGCATGGTCGTGAGGATGGCACCCTGGGGGAAAGAAGAGGGGCCTGTGAATTCAGCTGGACTCTAGAAAAGCATAGCCTGGTGTTAGGCAGAGGGCAGCCACTGGCCAGAGCTTCAAGACCTCAGGTCTTTGGGGCCCCCCAACATGTATAACCTTCATAGCTCAGCTCCAGCCACAAAGGGGGCTTTGTTGGGGCAGGGGCTGGACTGTCAATAGCTGTGATTTCAGGATGCTGGCAGCCTGGAAAGGCAAGACTCACCTTCAGTTTTCTCCGAGCATTGAACTTGCGCAAGCACTCCACAGTCTCTTGACGATGCATCATGGATGCCACTGTGGATCGTTGCTGGAAGCCAAACAGACAGGCCTGTGAGCCCTCCAGCCGGGCCCTCTGCCCCTCACCCTAGTCCCGGCACTGACGGCTGTGTGCTCAGCCGCCCCAGAGTTGATCCGAAGCTAAAATGAAGTCATAGATGTGAAAATGCTTTTAGAAAAAAAGCACTACCCCAAACTCAAGGTTATGTAAGGACAATAATCTGAACACAAAAACACCACTGATAATTGATGCTAGATTAGGAGGGTGCGTGAGACAGCACTCTTCCCTTCCTTGGGAAGTGGAAGCTACGGAACGGAAGAGAGTATCCTGTGTGTTGTGATCCCCATGCACTCACTCCTTCAGCAACTGTTTACTTAGCACCTACCGCATTCCTGAGCAGTGAGAGAACAGGCAGGGCTCCTGCTCTGTACAGAGAAGGTTCATTCCTTTCAAGAGCCCCTCTCAACACACCCCCCACAAGGACCTGAATAAAGCTGTGATCTGAGAAGCTAAGGGTCTTCACCTTGAAGCATTCTTTCTTTTCATCATTTTGGATGGTAATTTTTCTTCAATGTAACTTCCTTCTTCCTTAAAGAGTCCACTGGAAATGATTTACAACGATTTCCTTGATGACTCAGTATGAATTATTGCATAATATCATAATATAGTGACATCCTCAGGGGCTACTGAGTTATATAAGTTGGTGGAGGGTGGGGACTCCAGAAATGCCTCCCAGAACATAGTATATCCCTAGTTTTTGAGTACCCGTTTTAAGTTGCCCACCCCCTCCCTTAGCTGGTGCTGTCCTTGCTAGCCTGCTGGAAAGATAAATCCTACAACGTGCAGCTTGGTGCCCATAACCCCATTGGGCTGCCCCACAATCCTGTTCCTCACCCCTGGTGCACTCCTTTTCCTGGTTTCCAAAGCAAGTCTCCCAACCTCCTCTACCTTTTCTGAGTCTTCCAATTTTACCTCTTCCTCCAAAGTATAAATTTCTCCACAAAGAGAAATCACAGATCCTCACGCAAGAACTCCTTCAACTTCAGACCCCCATCCACAAAGTGATTTTCATTTGCTTTCAACCCCTTTTTACTATCCCAACCTTTGCTTCCTCAGTGAGCCAATATTTTTTTTTTTTTTTAAGATTTTATTTATTTGACAGAGAGAAACACAGCGAGAGAGGGAACAGAAGCAGGGGGAGTGGGAGAGGGAGAAGCAGGCTTCCCGCCGAGCAGGGAGCCCGATGCGGGACTCGATCCCAGGACCCTGGGATCATGACCTGAGCTGAAGGCAAACACTTCACGACTGAGCCACCCAGGCGCCCCAGTGAGCCAATATTTTAAACCCCTTATTCTAGACTATATTCTTCTCTGCAGTCTACACACTATATTCAAGCCCCTCCTTAAACAAAAACTTAAAAACTCTCCTGACTCCTCATCTTCTCTCTGTAGTACCATGTCTTTCTCTCTTCATCCTCACTAAAGAAAGGTTTCAGTCTCTCCCCCCACTGCCTCTGTCAGTGAAATAATGAAACTGGCTTTTAATTGGTCAGAGTCCATGGATTCTTTCCCATCTTTATCAGGGACTCTCTGTGGCATCTGATTACAGACGCTCCCTTACTAAGACCTCCTGTTTCTCAGGGTCTCCTGCTCCTGAACCTCCTTCTGCCACAGAAGTTCTCACCCCCAGCCTCCTCTGCTGGCCCCTCTAACGCTGCCTGTCTTTCCCGTGCTGGCGTTCAGTGGCCATCCCTCCTCTTACTGAAGCAAATACAAACCCACAGTGGGAATTCGATCAGCATAAAAATAATCCCATTTATTTCAACACCACCCACACAGAAACGACCGCAACCTGCATTTCCAACTTTGACTTCTTTTCTCATCTCTGGAACCACATTGCTAACTGCCCATCTGATATCTCCGGCTAGAAGTCCTCAGACACTACACTCAATCAAACTAAGATCATCATCCTTTCTCACAAACTGGCTCTTCCTCTGAGCTTCCTCTGAGACAGTGAATGGCACAACCCTGTGCTTATTACCAGCTCAAAATCTGGCAGTCCCCATAAGTCCCTTGCTCTCTTTCACTCTCTAAATTCAACTGGTCACTAAATCCTTTTGAGCCTATCTACTGAATATCTCTCAAATTTGTCTACTCCTTGCCATGACACCCAGGCTCCTATCACTACCCTTAGCTGAGACCTCATTTGGTCTTGCTCGGGCAATTACAACAGCTTCCTGAACTCTCTGCGCCAGCCTCCTTTCCTTTCAGTTCCATTTTGTACACAGCTTCCAAAGGGACCTTTCTTAACGGTGTATTTCATTCTTTGTTTTTATTTTTTTAAAAGATTTTATTTTTGGGGCGCCTGGGTCTCTCAGTCAGTTAAGCGTCTGCCTTTGGCTCAGGTCATGATCTCCAGGGTCCTGGGACTGAGCCCTGCATTGGGCTAGGGAGCTCATCGGAGAGCCTGCTTCTCCCTCTCCCACTCTGGCTCTCCCCTGCTTGTGCGCTCTCTCTGTCAAATAAGTTAATAAAACCTTAAAAAAAAAAAAAAAGATTTTATTTTTTTTCTAAGCCATCTCTACAGCCAATGTGGGTCTCGAACTTACAACCCTGAGATCAAGAGTTGCATGCTCCACCGCCAGAGCCAGCCAGGCGCCCCTTTGTTCCCTCTTTAAACCCCTTAAATGGTTCCCTATGCTTCCCAAATAAAATCCAAACTCATTAGGCAGAAACTTGTATGTCATGGAATCTTTTTGGCTTCGTTCTCTTGCATTTTTGTAGCCATATCTTCATCTACAACTAAACTACTTAACATTCCTTCAACTTGCCACAATTTCCCACGGCCTTTCACCCCGGCTCATGCTACCCTCTGCCGGCAGGTTATCATCCTGAGGAACTCCCAGCCATTTGCCAAGAACCAGGATAGGGGTCACCTCCTCCATGCAGCCTTCAGTAATCTCACCGCTCACCAGATAGCAAGAGTTCCTGTGCACTCATTAGATCCTTTTATGTACTTGTCACATTGCAGAATGGTTGCCTGTTTGAGTGCCTAGCTCCCCAGATAATTTTTAAGATCTTTGGGGGGAGGGACCACGCCTCACTCATCTTTGTATCTCCAGGACCCACGCAGCGACTGGCACCGAAGAGGCATTCAGTAAACACGGGAAAGGACAAATACATAAATGCATCGTGGCTATCAGGAGGCCTAACTGTAGCAGACCCTCTTCTTAGTTTGAAAACAGACATTTCACTTTATAGAATTTTGCAGAAGTGTTTATGCAAACAGAGTATGTTGATCCACACTGACAGCCTGGTGGGTGGGGGGTGGGGTTCATCTAGGGTGAGTTTTTAATTTTTTTTCAGTCACGAACTTCAAGATGCTCCTTTTAACTGCCCAGAAGCCCCTTTTGTTTATTTGTTGGATCTTGGTCACATTTCCACTACAGCTGTGACAGCTGAGATCTGAATATGCACCTGAAGCTTAGCAGTTCACTTTGGGTTCTGCGAGCTGCTTTCGCTCATCAGCTACCTAGAGTCTCAAGGGTCAACCAAAGCCCTCATTCAGAACTAAGTTACACCTGACAAGTAAGTGGGGAAGAGACAGGTTGAAGCCAGCGAGGCCACCTGCTTCCTTGAATCCCTCCCTCTCTGGTGGGTCCTTGCTCAGGGCCCAGAACAATCATTCTCTGCTCATAAACAGGAGCATGAAGAGAGTACTGAGGGCACAGAGGGCTGACATCCTGAGCTCCTCCACCCCGGGTGAAGACACTTACACAGACCCATGGATGCTTGAGAGCCTGGTCAGCTGTGATGCGCTTTGCAGGGTTTATGGTCAGCATCTGGTTGATCAAGTTCTTGGCTTCAGGAGTCACTGTGTCCCACTCTGGTGATGGGAACTAAGCAGGAAGAGGAAAAGGAGGCATATGAAATTTGTGAGCCTCACACCCTGAAACAAAGACTCTGTCTTTGTCTCAACTCCTACAAGCAGGATACTCCGTGCTATCTAAATCTACCCGCCAGAGAGCTGGGGAAGCCCTGGGGCATCCCAGTACCTGTGTCAACTTAAAGACCAGGAGAGGAAGACAGAGTCACGGTTAGAATGCCAGAATATCCAGTCAGAGCAGGGACTCTAACATATTCTGGTTCAACCCCATCTCCTTACTAGAAGGAAAGAGCGGCTCCACAATGTGCCCAAGGCCCCACGGCAGTGCGGGGAGCCACGCCATTCTTGTCCCAATGTTAACGCAGCACACCACACTTCTCAGGCCATTCTCTGCAAATAATGGATCAAAGAGCTTCGGTGGGCTCCTCGATTTTACAGCTACCAAGAAAGGCTGTGCAAAAAAGTTGCTCCTGGGATACGGTGTGGCAAGAATTGAGACCTGTATGCCCATCCTTGGGTCCTCAAAGTCCTTTGACACTCCCTGTATCCCATGACACACTAAACATGCCCCCTTCTGTGGATACAGCCCGAGGGTCAAGAACAAACCAGTCCTTACATCATAGGCCCCAGCCTTGATTTGCTGATACAACTTGTGCTGATCCTCATCCCAGAAGGGAGGGTATCCCACCAGGAGGATATACAGGATGACCCCTACGAGACAGAACACAGGTCATCGGGGTCAGCCACCGACTTCACCGAGGAACCAAGAAAAGCCACACAGGGCTCAGCCACCCAGAAAGTCAAGGTTATACCAGAGGTCGAAGTGGCCATCAGCTGATAACGCTGTGCTTCACTTCCCATGTCACCGAGCCCCATCGGGGACCTCTTTAGGCGTAATCCAACCTCTAAGGCATGGGTCAATCCCTCTTTAGGAAGGATGCAGTATGATCCAGGAAACACTTGGGGTGGAGCGTGTGATGAGACCAGCCATCCCCAGGACACTAGAGCAAACACCGCGACTTCACACACACCCCACACTTGTAGGGCCCACAAGGAATAGCGATGCTTCTTTCTCACCATCGCTGGAAGTTGAGGGCCCTGAACACCAAAAAGCTGAGAGTGTGGAATGGGCTTACCGCAGGCCCAGATATCCACAGGTTTTCCATAGGGATCTTTCCTCAAGACCTCAGGGGACAAGTAACCTGGCGTGCCAGCAAAACCTGCAGCAGAAGAAAGGGTGGAGGCACACTGAACCCACTTTCTCTGTCATTAAAACCACATCAGCAATTTCCCCCCAAGCCCCTCCTCGTTCCTGCTGTTTTTGCTATATAAGCTCTCAGCACATGGGCAGCGAGAGATGACAGGCTGGGTTTCTTGTAGTGTCCAGAATAAAATCGGAGGGCAAGTCCGTGTGCCTACCAGGAACTCCCATTTCTCCCCAGGGGCAGCAAGAATGCGGTGCTGACAAGAGCTAGACTCACTGCACTGAGTCACCTAGGGCCAGGGGCCGCTCTGTACCCTCCACCCCCTTCTCCGGTCTCTGAGGAGACGGGGACCGTGAAGGGTCTGGCTTCTAGTTCTGAAAGAGGAAAACAGATCAGGAAGAGGAGGAAGGGCGGGGGCCACATTCCAGGAAGACAGGGTCACTCTTACCAAACCAAGCCTGCTGCTCTCCCTGTACTTCGATGGCTAGGCCAAAATCAGCCAGCTTGACGGCGGCACCCTTGCATTTACTCGCCAGCAGCAGGTTCTCAGGCTGTATAAGGAAGAGAAGACCTCCTGAGGCACCCACCCACCCTCTGGCCCTGGGGAAGCCTAGTTTGGGTCCCCGCAGTCCCACCACCTGGCACCAGGTGGCGCCTACGCTTCACAAGCAGGAGGCAGAGGGGGAGCCTGGGTGTACCTTCAGGTCCCGGTGGACGATGTCATGCTGGTGGATGTGGTTAACACTCTCCAGAATCTGATGTATACAATGGCTGCAAAAGCACAAGGAGAAGGAATGTCAGCACAGGATTAAGCCACTCATCCACGACCACACACGACAGATGAAAGCATGGAACTCTGGGTTACAGAGTCACAAGGAAATCACCGAACAACAGCTAAAACCTTGGGACTCTGGACATCATCTAGTTCAACCTATTTTACAGAAGAATAAACCGAGGGCCAGGCATATTAAGTGGTTTGTCTGGGGTCTCCCACTAGATAAAGGCTAGACAGAGGACACTAGATAAGACACTAGATGGAGGACAGACTAACACAGAGTTCACCATGCCTCCTTAGACGGTAAAGGGCCAATACCACCAGTCCATTTCCAAGAGATTGGGGACACTCCTGAGCAACAGAGACCATCCAACCCTTTCCTTCTTTTCTTCCCCCTATAGTAACAAAAACTCTTGTTTTGCTGGGGGGGCACACTCATTCATTTATTTAAACATTGACTGACTACCTCTAGGCACTGTGCTTGGTACCACACAGACTATAAAGATGAGTAAGACCTAGTGCTTGCCTTGAAGTTTATCATCTAGAAGGGGAGATAAAACCCAGCACACAGACCCCTTTAAGAAAAGATGTCCTTAAGAAGGCTCCAAACAGGGCAACTGAGGAGCATTTCTGGTAATGATTTTGCTAGGAAAACAAAACAAAACTAACCCAGGTCACCTTCAGCTGCTATTTCTTTTCTTTCTTTTTTTCTTAAATAGGCTCCATGCCCAATGCGGGGTTTGAACTCAGTATGGGGCTTGAACTCACGACCCTGAGATCAAGAGTCGCATGCTCCACCAACTGAGCCAGCCAGGCGCCCCCACTGCCATCTTGAATCAGGCTGCCCACCTTCCAAAACATCCTGCCATACTTGCAGTCAAACTCCCGGCAGGGAGCATTGGCGATCTGGAGCAATGGTGAAAACTGGGGGACATCTGGTAATGCCTGGAGACATTGCTGGTTGTCACAATTAAGGTGGAGATGCTACCGGCATCCAGTGGGGAAGGGCAGGGATACTTCTAAAACTCTACAGTGCAAAGGAGTGGCCCTCACAACAAGAAATTATCTGGCCCCAAATGTTAGTAGTGTTGAGGTTGAGGATCACTGGCCTAGAGAATGAGGCCCCCGTCGGCAGGTACCAGCAGGTATGTGCAGCAGGCTTGCAGAGAGGTGCTGGACTCCTTCTCTAAAATCTGATTCTGGGGCTTCCACAAGAGCCAACGGGTCTTACCAGGCTCCTGGAGGCTGAGGCTCAGGCCTCCCTTCAGGACACAGCCCATGAGTAGGCCAAAGAGACTTTAAGACTGAGCTGAAGAGGCGAGTCTCCACAGAAATGTATAATTAGAACAGAGCCAGGCTAGCAGGGAGAGTCTTCTGGCCAAAAATGGCAAAAGCGCGAAGTGTCCCAGCAGCGCCAGGCCAAGCCCACTGGTACAGTCACACACCACCCCTCCCCTCCCCCTGGCCAGCCCTCCCTCCTCCCCACCAGGCTCCCAGGGCGGTCACCGCCTCCTCCTGCCCCAGGGTCTGGTCCTCCCCTGCCGGCACTGGAATTCATCTCCCCACTTGAGAAGTTTTCCTGAGGCTGAAGCATCTGAAGTTGATCAGCAAACACTGGCCTCTCAGGGTTGAGAAATTTGTGAGGCAGCTGCACTCCCCCACTCTCTAGAGGCAGCCAGAGCTGCCACATATGCCAGATAAGCTGCAGGCAGGATGATCAAAACCAGGTTGCATGGACATCACCCTCGGAGAAAACTCGGGGCCCGGGGGAGGAGCCGAGGAGGGAAAGACAGGCCACACAAACACCCTAGAGCTGCGGTACGGGCAGAATTCTGCCAGGGCTGCCACGGGGGGCTGAGGGCTGAGGGATGTGGCCAAGGAACGGTCCTCCGGCCTGAGGAGCCCCACACCAGGGCTGGTCGTGGTGGTCAGGAGACTAAGGGATCCAGGCTGGAATCTCTTTTGAGAAGGTTCCTGGTTGATTAGCCCAGATGTTTACACTCCTTCAGAACGCAAACCACGTTTTCTCCATCTCTGGATCATCCCCAGGGTGCCTTGCACACAGTAAAATTTGTCAAAGGAAAGAAGCAGGGGTAGGGAGGGCGCTTGGGCAGGCTTGCAAGTACACAGTAGTGCAAAGAAAAGGTATTTCTGGGGTGAAACGGTGAAGGAGACTTGCAAGTGCTTCCCCTCCGCCAAAAAGACGGATCTAATTTCTAACATCACCCATAAAATGCAGCCCAGGTCCAGCTGTATGGAATCTGTCCAGACAGCAGATCTTCTGATCTATATCCAAAGACTCTTCAAACAGGCACAAAGCCTGCCCCCCTGAAGTGGCCAAGACTCACCCGGAACTCTAGGGTCCTTGTCTCACCTGGCATCAGCTTCACTGTAGTACTCTCTGGCCACGATGTCTTCAAACAGCTCCCCGCCGGTAACACTGCAACCAACAGACAGAGAGGTTCAGAGGAAGCAGGTCAGCTGGCCAACCCCAGCATCCAACAGGCAACAGGTCACACCATGGAACAGCTTTTAAAGAAATCCCAACTCCACACGCATTCCATCTGAGAGCCCAAACATGTTCCATCCTTCAATGATGTGGGGCTTCTCCCTGGGATAACGTGGGCCCTCTCTTCCTCCTGCACATTTCCGTGTCTATAACCTACAGATTAGCTAATACTCAGGCAAAGATGAATATACAGGGATCTAAGAGAAAATTATCAACCTACTCAGAAAGTCACAGCTTTATTTGAGACCAATATGAATACTGAGATACACAGCTGCCCAAGAAGGACAGACCTACTCCTAAAGTTGAAGAATAATGAGATCAAGGACACAGAGACCCAATCCTGAAAATACCGGAGAAGCATTTCCAGGAGGTGAAGAGCTACTTTTGAGATATTTAACCACAACCAAAGTGGAGGAGAGACTAAGTGGAGTCCAGTTTATGACTAATAAAAGCCACCTTTAATTTCCCAGAATTTTTAAGGTCATGCGAAGAGCTGTAGTCTATTTCTCCACTAAGGACAACACACCAAGAAACAAGGAAAAAAAAAAAAAAAGCATCTGCACAAGGTGTGCTGCTGAACAGAAATGCGAGAGCAATGCCATCTGGGGGTTTGGAACCCTGGGGAGACCATGAGTGAGCAATGAGGTCCCCTCTGCAACCTGCCCATTACCAGAGGAAGGTCAAAATCAAATCCTTTCCCTCAGGCAAAGGAGAGGGGGCCCTCGGCAGAGGCTGAAGACCCAGTTTAGGTCTTTCTCCAAGCCTTCATGGTGAGCCAGCTGGAGGGAAAGGCCCCCACACCCTCAGAAAGTGGCACTTACAGGTCAAACACGAGGTAGTGAAACCCTTCTTCAGAAATACTGTCATGGAGGCGCACTGCAAGAGAGGAGATGGGGACAGAGATTAACAGAGAGAAACCTTGGAAACCTACTCCTCTCCTCAGCAACCCCACCCCTGCCCCAGCCTGCCAGCCTCCCTGGACGGTCTTCTGAAGGAGTGGCAGTGAGAAGCAGTGACATGCCCGTCACCCCCCCCCCACCCAAGACGAGGTGACACGGCTGCAGAGCAGAGAAACAACCAGACCCCGGGTCCAGTGCTCCGGCTGCCACCTCAGACAGCCTCAGATGTAGACAAGAGAGAGAAGCTTTGTGGCTAAGAAGACAAGACAGAGAGAAGCAGGAACCTTCCCAGAGGGGCTAGTCCCAGAGAAGGAGGTCCTGGGATCTGCTGCGTGACGGTGTAAAGCAGGGCAAGAGCAAGGGGCGCCGAGGGAGGCTGACCGCGGAGGGACAGAGGATGACAAGACCGGAGGGCCCGAGAGCCCTTTCACAGGAGTAGATGGGAAACGGGTAATTAAAGGGTGGGGAAGAAGCTGGAAAGGTAACGCCCAGTGGGAAGGCACAGGGAGTGAGGCTAATGGATGGTGAGCATGGGAGGCAACATGCAGACTCAAGCAAGGACAACAATCACTGTTTATTCGGCCCTTCTTATGTGCCAGGCCTGGGGTTAGGCTCTTTGCAGACATGACTTATTCTACAAGGATTTACTGAGTGCCTGCTACATGTGGGACTCCATGCTAGACGGAAGGACACAGTGGCTGTCCCTGAGGAGTTGATTCTTCCGGATGACCACCCCGAGAGGAGGATTCCTCCCATCCCGCAGATGAGGACGCTGGGGGCTCAGAGACATCGTATCTTACCAAAGGCCAAAGATGCAATAGGTCAAGATGTAAATCCAGCTCTTTCTGCCTCCAAAGACGGGTCTACACCACCGCTTCCTCTAAGAAATGTGGTGTAGCCCACACAGCCAGGCACCAGAGCAATGGAGCCTGTGAGAGAGACTACCCACGAGCGCGCCTACAGCAGCAACACGGACGGGTCCGGGAGGCCACGGCACCGAGCAGAGCGGGGCAGCTCACCAGCTGCCGGCAGAGGCTTGCAGGCAGAATCCCTTCCCACTTCCCGCCTCCAGAGCTCCTGGGCAAAAAACCAGCCTAATGTCTTCTGAGGTCTCCTCCTCAAGCTTCTGCCCACAAAGCCACCTCGGGCTTAAATGCCAACCTCCGAGTACCATTCTCATGCAAACACAAGGCGATGCTTTGGCAGGCTGTCGCGCGGCTGTCCCTGTCCCTTCCCTCACCTGAACCCTCCTGATGCGGAACCTCTGTCTGACCTTCACGCCAGCCCCGGGCAGTTTCAGGAGCACCTCACAGAGCGCTTTTAGGAATGGCCTGACACCAAGCCGGCCAGTGAAGTTCTTGGATACACAGGAGTCACTGTGTCTCTTCCTTGGCGGGACCCAGCCTGCCAACCGCCCCACACGACAGGTCCCATTTCCCGTGTCAGACTGTTTCCTCAGGGCTGGGGTGCTTCCCTACAGCCTGTCCCACCACAGCAAGATCATAAATTACAGGTACTTGGCCATTCCTACAGCTCCGTGGTTCTCCTCAGCTGACAAAAATGAGGACTCGGGCCTGCCGGGGCTAGATGGAGGGCTTGCCGACTGTTGACACTTTCTATTGCCTGCTTTATTTGATCTGATCTGGTTACCCCAAATTCCACCCCAACTGTGATTTACCAATGGGATCAAAGGCAGGGGTACTTCAAAAATCCCTCCTCCTCCAGATGCTGTCTCCCGTACTTGGGCGAGCAAGCTCATACTTCACTAGGCCCCCAGAGGACAGAAGGAAGGAGCTACAGCCAACCCATTCCTCCTCCCACCCTAATCAACCCGGGCACGCTCAAGTGAGCTCCCCCAAAGCCCTGCCAGCCCCCTCCCCACGTGCGCTTCTCTGGTCTAAGTCGGTGCTGTGCACAGGGTCCTGTTGTAGTTGTGCTCCCTCGTGTCCAAAAGGACTTTCCATTTAATTAAAAATTTGCTATAAAAAAGCATTAAAGTGTGTAATACAAATAATCCCCTGGAAATCAGCTGTCCCAGAAGCTACAGACCAGCTTCATTAGGGAGGGGACTAACAGTAGCAGGATGGTAAGCTAACAGTAAAGCAGGTAGGATGCTAACAACCACTCCCCGGGGAGTCCTGCCCCGTGGCCCTGCCTCTCCCGGCCCCCCCCCCCCGCCCCCGGGCCTGCCCCCTAGTCCCGCAGAGCGGGGCCGAGAGTGCCGCACAAAGTCCAGGTGGCCAGGCCTATGCCAAGGCGGGGGGGAGGCATGGGCGCTTGCCCTTCTCCAGGAAGGCCACACACAGAGCCCAGGTGGGAGGAAGCAGGGCAGGGGAATCAGAAGAGAAGAGCCGCAGCGGAAGATTAATCCTTCCAGGCCACCCAGCCCAGAGAATGGCTTTGATGTGTGCCCCAGGGCAAGGTACCACTGAGACAAGAAGGGACAGGTGCAAAAGACCTCGTAGCTGAACAAGATGCTATCTTTTTTTTTTTTCCATTTGTAAAGAAAATTAAGAGAACTGAGAATAAGAGGAAAAACTTGACTGTGCCACCCTAAGTGCCTACCCAGCAGAATCTTGATAATAATGACCCAAGAAAGCACTAATATTTAGTTGTTTCTATGTGCTAGACATTGTGCCAAGTGCTTTATATACGTTATTTTATTGAGCTCTCACATTACCTCTGTTACCCCCATCTGATAGGAGAGAAGACCGAGGCCCCGAAAGGAACTCATCCAACATCATCCCAAGTGGCCGAACTGAGACTTGAACCCAGAACAAACTGAGAGCAAGATCCTTGATATGGGGGAATTGCCTGCGAGGAGTCCCTTTCTCTGTCCTCTTAGGCAAAGGAACTCCAACTTGTCCCCACTAGCTCTGGCCACTCTGTTCCACCCAACAGTGTGCATAAGGCGCCTTTCTGGAAGCAGGCGTGGCTGCACGTGGCGTTGCCAAGGAGCTTCTGGATCAATGGGGAAGACGGGCTTCAAACCAGCACTTACACAAATATGTCACTATGCACTACTGTGGAAAGGGCTACGAAGTAGAAGTGAAGGATGCTATGGATGTGTGGGGAAAAAAATAACCTGACACTCAGTCCATCCCACAGTAGATGGCTTGAAGGCCAAGGAGGGCCAGACCAAGTCCACAGACAGAAAGACCTGAAAAGGATGATAAAACATCTACTGCATTATTTCAGCAATAAAACTAGTTATTTTTTCTTTAAAAACCGTGGAGGGAAAAACGGCCCAAACACCTAAATACCTTCACTTGACGTTTCATACCTTCAAGGACTAACAACGCCATAACCCAAATGCGGTGGCTATTTCCGGTTCTTTAGAAACCACCCAACAATATGCCACATTATAACTAGCAAATCTTGGCTCAAAAAGCTCTGAGAAAGTGTCACTGTTCAAAGTGTCTGCAGCAATAGCACGATGGAAAGGAGGTCCTGCTTCCTGGGGGCCAGAGGGGGACTGAGGCTGCCCCCCCTCCACAGGGGCAGGGGGGCAGGACTACCCGAGGCAGAGATTTAGGAGCTGCTTGGTCAGGATTCAAGGTGTTCTTCTTTTTCTTTGCCCCTGTTTCTGCTCCATTTATGTTAGCTGAATGGGCCCTGGGTCCAAGATAAATGGCAGCCTGGCTTAAATACCCCGCGAACTAAGCTGGGGCTGAGGATTTAGGGAAGGTCACTTCTGGGAGCTGGAGACCCTGTTTTCATGGCCTCCATTCTTTCCAAGCCGAGGCCTCCTCTGCCCGCTGAACCCTCTCACAACTCCACGAAGAGGCTAATTCTGCTAGAGGTCGCAGCTCCAGACCAGCAAATCCCACATGCAAACCTGGACGACACGATAGCAAAGCCACACACCTTGCTCCCCCACACACGGCCCGCAGACCGGCAGTGTGAGCCTCCCCTGGAGACCACACTCCCGAGGAAGCTCAGGTACACCTCAGACCTTCTGAATCAGACCCTGAGTTTCACACGATCCCTCGGTGATTCCTGAGCACATAAAAGTTTCAGTAGTGCTGCTCTAAACCATCACGCCAGACTGTGATTGAACCTGCTGGGGCAGCTCAGCACGAAGGAAGGCAGAGTCTATTCATTAGAGGAATTTAGAGCAGGGAGCAAGCAGATCACAGGTAGAACACGCTCCATTCAGCCTGGAGACAGGACGACTACCGGCCCCTCCTCTTCGCTCCACACCTCTGGCCACTGTCCCAAAGCTGTTTCAGGTTCTGCAGAATGCCTCGTAACCAACAGGCTTTTTTTTTTCATCAATAAACTTTAATATTTTTTTGAGTTTAGGGTTCATAGCAAAACTGAGTAGGAAGTCCAGAAAGCATCCACACACCACCTGCCCTCACACGCATGGCCTCCCCTACCATCAGCATCCCCTACCAGCCCGGCACACTTGTTACAATCGATGAACCTACACTGACACATCGCTGTCACCCAGACCCCGCAGTTTACATGAGCATTCGCTCTTCCAGCAGGCTTTTTAACTCCTGGAATAGAATATCTATTAGGGAAGAAAACTGGGGATGCCTGGCTCCTTGCACCAAAAATCCTTCTGAGTTCAAGTACAGCAGCCAGAGGGGGACCATGTACGCTCTGTTCTCAGCTTCCTCAACTCTGCACCCCTCCTGGGCTGGTCTACTTGTATCCCCGTGGGATGGAGTTAAAGAGGCTGGAGCCAAAGGGGCCACAACTCTGAAGGACGGGGCAGCGAAGAGAGGGGAAGAATAGCAAATTAGGGCACAAAACAGCCTCCTCTCTGCCACAAGCCAGATCAGGATCCATGGCAACCTCAGCCTCCTGGATCTACCGCCCCACCACGTCTCCAGGAGCCTGGTTCCCACCGGAAGCCAGAGAGCCCGGCCAGCCAGCTCTCCCAGGACACAGTCCTGACTCACCCTTCCCTCTCGCTGCTCTTGACCCCGGAAGAAGGCCCCAGACCAACATCCCTCAGGATCTGGGAGCAGTTGTGAAATGAAGCACAGTTCTAGGCAATCAGATGCTGATGAAGTGAGTGTGCCTGGCCTGGCCTGGCTTGGATCTCATGGGGCCCCTAACAGGGCAGACGACTCGGGTAGGCAGTCCCCCAACTGCTAGGACCCCAGGTCAAGCTGGGGGCAGGTGATTAAAAAGGAAAGAGCTACCAAACCGAGTGAGGTCTAAAAGGTCAAAAGTATATATTTAATTTCTAAGGCATAAAAAGAAGGGTATGACTGTTTTCAGCTAGATTCCCATTTCTGTCCTTCCTGGTCATTTCTCAACTGTCTTCATCTACCCCAACCCTTCCAGGGTCGATCAAGTCTGTGCTACAGATGATGCAGATGTGGTTCTGCCTCCTGCATCGCCCACCCCACCTTTTATGCTCCTCCTGGCATGAGAACAACTCTACGAGTTGGTCACGAGTAGCATAAGGGAAGGAGGTTGCTGTCCTCAGATCCTGAGACCTGGGACTGCAACATCAAAATGCTCCCGTGCTTGTGGATGACTCTAGTTACCCACAAGCTTTTTCTTTCTGTTCTGGAAGTTCTAGGTTAGAGGTCATAAGCTCAAAAGCCTCCAGGGACCAGGTAGGCAGTGCAAACATAAGGTAACAAGGGAGATGGCAAAGGACGTTTGGCCAGTAGACTTTGGGGGGCAGCCACTGCCCAGCCCTAGCTGATTCTGGCCGCATACAGATGTGGCCTCAGCAGAGCCCCGATGTCTGATTCGCAAAACTGGGAAACAGAATTTTTTTTTCCCCAAAATGCAAAATCTCGTTTTTAAATACTGGCAAATAATAAAATATTTTTAGACCACTGAGCTGGCCAAACAAAACACGCCCGAATTTGCAACTGCTGCTCGGCGCTCCTCTCATTGTCTCTCCTACCCAAGGTGACACATTGGTCCCCACTGTGCTGTTTGCCGGTGAGCGTCTGACTTCGGAGCTCACGCAGGGAGCTCCAGGAGTTCTAAGCCCGGGACCCGTCAGCTGAGAGGTGTTGGCTCGGTGGGACACACTGCACCAGCAGAGCTGAGCATTGGCTATGCCAATCCGCTCCGGGTGTAATCCAAGCTGCTGATTGCGATCTGTAAAGCCCTGCATGGTTGGAGTTCTGGTTAGCTCAGAGCTACTTCTCTCCCCTTGGACTGGAGTACGACCTCAGCTCTCCCACGTTAAGAGCTCACGTTAAGCTTTCCAGCCTAAGGTCTGGCAGACCAGAGGCTGGGTAGCTCCGGAGGAAGCATCAGGCTTCAGCAAGTCACCTCCCAGCCCTGGCCGCCAACAGAGCAGAGCGGGTGGCCTCCAGGGCACTGTGGGAGCCCCGATATTTAGGCCATGCCTGAGGAGCAAAGAACACGTGTTGTTCTTTGTGATGACTCAGGGCTTTCAGGGAAAAACCTAGGAGATGCTCCCTGCTCTGCCTCAAGTCAAGACTGGGGTTTCTGCTCAGACACTGCAGCCAGCCCGGTTTCTATCCCCTCTGCGAGAAGCACCAAATCAGGGCCAACGCTTCTGGCAAAGACTATTTCAGCTGAACAATGTAAAACTGAGCTGGAGTGGGTTGTGGCAGGCAAACCTCCTCAGGCTTTAGAACAACCAACAATGTGCTCTTGTCCCCCAAGTCAGGGTGGGAGCAGGGAGAAATCCTCTTAATTTTTTCTCCTTCCCCATGAGAGTGGCTCCTGCCTTCCCTTCTCCAGAGAAGCCAGGCGGGTGGGCAGCTTGCTTTCCTGGCTCTGGGGAATACAAACGGGAGCACCATGGAAACCCCCAGAGTGCGCACGACACCGTAACAGGAACAAAACTCTTTCAAGTCCAGAAACAAAATCCGGACCCTTTTATGATGGCTGTGGAAGGCCCCTGGTGAGGGATGCTGGCAGGCTACTAGCCCGGAGTCTCACACGCTGCGGGCCCTGGACCTCAGCCCAAAGACGGAAGGAGAAGGGGAAGAAAGGGAGTCTGAAACCTGTTCTAGTACCTCCTATCCTGGCCCTGAAATGGCACTATGGGGATGGAGACCCTCAGGTCTCTAGAGCAGAAGGCCCCAGCATTCTGAGCAAGACACAACTGCTATCCCACTTGGACAAAAAAAAAAAAAAATTACACCAGGCAAAGGTCCAGGGACAGAACTGGTTTCAGACACAAAAGCAGTGGATCTCTGTTCTCCCTACCTTCTACCAGATGCCCAAGAATTACCCCGAGCGAAGGTGCTTACCAATGTTTGGATGTTTCAAAAGTCGGCATATCCGGGCCTCACGTTCTAGTTTCTGGTGATCTAAAAGCAGAAGAGAGAAAACAAAAACCATCAGCCATCCGTTCTATTTGTGGCCACCTGGCTATTCATAGTCCTTCAATGATTAGGTACCAACTATGCACTTTTTACTAATTTGCTGAATTAATGCAGCAAGTCACGGCAATCCTAGAGACAGGTATTATGACTTTTTTCAAATGAGGAAATGCCCTAGGAAGTCTCTCAAGTCAGTGAGGCAGAGTCAGGACTTGAATCCAGGTCTTCGACTACAACTCTGGTACCCTTTTCACTACAGCAGGGATTTCACTGGGCCAGGGCGTCCAGAATCTCTTCCTTGATAGAGATACTACCAATAACTAAGTTTTATTGAACACCCACTATAGAACCAGGCACCGTGCTAGGAATTTTGCAAATATTCTCTGATTTAGTCTTCACAGTATCCCTGAAACATAATGATGCTGACAACCAAGATGATGATGAAGATGATAATGATCTGACAAAATGATAAGCAGAGCTAACGTTTCTCGAGAGCTTACTTCTACACCAGGTACAAACATCTTTTAATTTATTCTCATAACCACTCTATGAGGCTGGCACTATTATGATGCCCACTTTGCAGTAATCCTGCTTCTTCCCAGGATCCTCCTGGCCACAGCCCACTGTGAATGCTCACCTCTTGGCACTCAGGCACTGGGGTTACTCGGTTTTGGTGAGAGGACCCGAATCCAGGAGTCCCCAGGTACAAGCAAGCTGCATTGGTCGGTTCCTTCCATAGGAAGGCAGAGCTCCAGGAAGTAGAAAGAGAGGGTGCTACCACTCAAAGCAAGGCAGATTAGCAGCCCTCCCCCCCTACCTGCTGCAACAGTCCCCTCCTTCACAAAGTCTCCCCTGTTCCTCCTGGCAGATGTGACTTCTTTTCTCTCTGAGCATACCCCCATCTTCCGCTGCACTTCTTAGAATTTTCACATCGTACATTATGTCCAGTATCTTGTGGTCCCAAGCTCTTCAAAGGGTGGGACCTCTCTGAGTGACGCTTCCTATCCTAGAGTTCCTGCCTTGACAGGGCCTTCGTATCGGTTTATCAATAACACCAATGGCAGTAACAACCAATATTTACTGAGGATTCATTATATGCCAGGCAGAGGCATGGGTTATCTTCCTTCACCCTCACCGAGACCCTGTGAAGTAAAGGATCTGATGAACTCCATTACATGATAAATGAGGAAACTGAGGCTTGAAAAGTTGAAGCAACCACCCCAAGGTCCCAGGCAGTGGATGCAGGCAGTCTGAGCCTGGAGCCCTTTCTCCATCACTATGCAATGATGACAGGATAAAGTGAGGACAGCTAGTAAAGACTCCGGGCTTTGGGAGGCATTCCTCCAGGTCTGGGCAGGTGCCTTCACATCCACACCTGCCAAGCAATTCTTGCCTCCCTTGGTAGGGGCTTCTGTCCACCCCACCTCCAGCTCAACAGCAAAGAGCCTCTGTAGAGCTCCCTATGACTCCCACAACCATCCTACCAGGGAGGTGCTATCACTGTCACCTTTTCACAGATAATGAAACTGAAGCCCAGAGAAGTTAAATAACTCGCCCGAGATCCTGCAGCAGGAAAGGGAAAGAACTGGGATTCCAACCCAGGCCCACCAAAATAATGTAGTCTGAGATAACACAGGGATTATAGACTAAAACGAATTCACATTTGTTGTTTCACCAATCACCCCCCATTTTGTCCTAAACTTTCCCTCTAGCAACAGCTCTGCTTTGTGCAAGAAGGAGGTGGGGACAGACAGAGATTAGTTCCTGCTGTCCAGCTAATCCATCCCAGCTGCCCAAAGATCTGGGTCAGGTCCTCCTTTCCATCCTCAGTTTGGCATTAGCACTGACCAGGATGCAGCCAGAGAACCACAGGTGACCCCACAGTCCCACATCACCTGGGATCCATCGGTCCCAGGGACCTGCCCACCCTGGAGGTAGTTGAGGAAGTAGTGCTAGCCCTGCCCAGTGGCAGGGCGGCTTGCTTCTTCCAGATCTGGCTGGGAAGATGTCAGGGCTACCCCGCCTTCCTCCCAGCTCCTGGAACTGGGCTAGAAGTACCAAGCTAGCCAGCCCCAAAGATTCCGCCCTCTGACCACTCACCTCGCCGCCCTCTGACCCACAACCCTTGGGCTTGGCTGCCCAGGCAGGGACAGGAGAACAGCATCTTGCAATGCAGAGGTGTCTGCTGAGGGGAAGGCCTGGAAGATTAATGCTTATCTCTGACCCACAACCCTTGGGCTTGGCTGCCCAGGCAGGGACAGGAGAACAGCATCTTGCAATGCAGAGGTGTCTGCTGAGGGGAAGGCCTGGAAGATTAATGCTTATCTCCTCCCTTAAGTCTCTTACTGGCTAATGGTTACAGTCCCACAAGAGTAACAGCACTAAAAATAAGGGTGCTCTGGCTTTACCAGTGACTCAGAACAGGGAGAGGAGAGACACAGATTCAGACTTCCAGCTCCTCGAAGGAGCTGCCCAGTGTCCAGAGGGTCCTTGTTAGCCACTTAATTCAACCCTGTCTCCAAGGAGCCGAGTCCCCATGTCTTCTCTGAATCCCAGGCTGCTCCTTAGTCTTTGTGCTGATCCTTAGCGTGTACTCCATCCATGAACACAACAGTTTTGGAGTCAGACAGCCCTGGGTTGAGTCCGAGCACGGCTACGGCAGGTGAGTTATTAAATCCATCTGCGCCTCATTCATTCATTCAAATACACTGTTCTGAAAGCTATGGCTACAGCAGTGAACAAAACAAGACAAAAATCCCTGCCTTCGTGGAGGTGATATTCTAGTGGGGCTGGGAGCGGGGGAGGGACAGACAAGAAGGAGGGGATGGCACATGAAATGTCATGACAAGTGCAAAATGTGGGAAAATAAAGCAGGGAAAAGGAACAGTATACATTTAAATAGGACGGTCATGGAAAAGCCTCAGCAAGGAAGTGACGTTTGATTGGGACCTGAAGGAGGTGACAAAAGGAGCCAGGCACATATCCTGGGGAAGTTTCCTCACTCTGAAAACGGAGGCAGGGCTCTCTGCAGATTAAATGCGGTAACTGGGTAAATGCTCAGTACGGTGCCTGGCACACGGGGAGAACCTGAGCCAAAGACATTGAGCGAGTCAGACCCAGAGTCCGGCCAGAGTCCACAGCACACCAGCAGAGCCCTCTGACTTGGCTCCGCCACAGCCCTCCTGAGGGGGAGGTATTCCCTCTGGGCTGGAAGTACCAAAGCTGCTGCTTTGGGTGGGGCCCGCCCTGGGAAAAGGAGAGCAACAGGGGCTTCTCAGAGAGAGGACAGCCTAGCCGCGCCACTGCCTGCGGGATCCCCCCTCTTCCTCGGCCTCACCCTTGGAGGCGGTGGCGTCCTGCCATCCAGAAGCTCTGCTCAACGAGCCATGTGGTTTCTGCCTACCATACTCTCCCTGCGTCCTTACGCCGGGCACCGCGGGCCAGCGCCCCAGGCTCCCCGCTGTTGTCTCCTGCCCCTTTCCCCCACACACCTCCTGTCCTGGAGGCCCCTCGGGGACCGGGCCCGGTCTGGGGAAAAAAGCAGAGGGCTCCACCCCAGCAGCAGCAGTGGCATTTCAGGAACAAATATGGTTTGTGGAGTATCTTCCCCAACTGCAAGGGCTGTCCCGGCTAAAGCACAGCATCACAACCCCAAAAGGGGTGAAGCCACTGAACTGATTCAGTCCACAGGAGCAGCACGAGGGGCCTGCCTGGGCATCCTGAGGTGGTAACACACCAGCTGGTGCTTTTGTCCCAAAGATGGCCTTCTCCCTCGAGTCACCCCTCCTTCCACGGACCCCTGAGCTCGCTGTTCCGAGGCCTTCAGAGGCTGACCCTCTTCCCACCCACCTTTCAACTGGGCTATTCCCCGCCCCCTCACGTGGCCCAGCCCCCCCCTTCCTGTTTGACAACAGCCACTTCCCGCTTCTGCACAGGGCCACTTCCTGCCTGCCTGTGTGCTACTGCCATGGACAGACCCACCCCGGCCAACCTTCAGCCCAGCTCCAACCACATCTCTCTGCAAGGTTTTCCCCCTCAGTAGCAGAGGTAGCAACAGGAGCAGAAAGCAGAAGTGGCCGTTATCAGGGACCTGCCTGGGCCTTCCCCAACAGCCCACCCAGTGTAGAGCCAGGCCCGAGAAACAAGCATCCGTGGAGGCCTTGCCTCTCCTGCCTGTGGCCCAAGCACTTCAAGCCTTGGTCCAGGCCAAGTACCCATCACAGGAAGAGTGGCAAGGAGTGACCAGATAGTCAGTGCCAAGGGAGGCAGAAAAGAGGAAGCAATGAGGAGACAGCATGTAGCAAAGGGGAGGCAGGGTTCTAGAACCACCTCTCCCCTCAATCCAAACGAGAAGCCTACTCCAAATGCACTTGCCTTCCCCCCCACAGGACCAGGGGCCAGGGAAGCCTGGCCACTGATCCTCCATGGCCTTGTAGGGACATGACTGATTTAGTGACATTTCCCTAAAACCACAAATGCCAGTGCTAGCTTCACATAAGACTCTACTGCCACCTAAATACACCACGCTCTGTGATGGGAAAGAACACACACGGCCCTACTCCGGCTATGAGGACCCTCCCCAAGTTCCAATCCCAATGATACCTTGGACTTTCCAAAGAGTATTTCAAGAGTCTGTGCCTGTGATCCTGACATGAATGATGAGAAGATTCCTACAGCTTTCTACAGCCCAATTTCAGATGCTCCAAGTGGAGCATCTCCTCTTGCTGCCCTCCTGAGTGCCCTCCTGAGTGCCCTCCTCGTCCTTCCCAAGCGGCAGAGGCCTCCGTCTGGCCCCCGGGGCCTCACTCTGAGGAGAAGGAACAAGGGTACCATAGGGATTTGGTGTCATAATCCACATTTCCAGCTGCTTATAAACAGCCCCTGGCCTTGGGCACTGATTAGTGGGAATCCCAGGCCACAGTCCCATTTACCTCATCGTGACACTGCGATGCCACATCCCTTCCTCTTTGAATCTCAGTCCAAAGGTG